TCAAGAGGAAGAAGATTCCTAAAGGTAGATCTGGTGGTGGGAAACGCAAGAAGAAGGAGGATGGAATTACTGATGATGAGGATTCCGGCGCGGAGGAGGGAGGTAGTAGATCGCAAAGGAAAAGTAGAAAAGCGAGAAGGGGTAGTGGGAGTGACGAGGAAAAGCCAAAGACTAAGAAGAGAAGACTTGCTAAGAAGGGAGGAGAGAAGAAAGACGAGGGCAAATATAAGAGTAGTGAGATTGTGGTGGAAAGTGACAGTGATGGGGATGATGGAGCTGATGAGGCGAGAAAGGCTATGGAGGGTGAGGCAGGAGATGATGTTGGAATGCAGGAGGCTACGAATGGTCAGACTACCGCCGCTGGTGGCGATAGTGACGAGGAAGAACAAGTCGTTAAGACGACAAGGAAGAGTAGAAGAGGTGTAATTGAAGACGATGAGGATGAAGATATCGAGGCTGATACTAGCGCCGTCGGTGCTACTCACCAAGACGATTCTCCAAACACGGCAAATGAGGATAATGATACTCCAATGGCGGGGACGGCGGTAGCGGATGATGATGACGAGTAGATTTAGTTGGGAGGTATCTAAATATGATTCGCGCGTGAACTGGTGGGTTGGGAAGTGGGAAAATATGATAAGATAGTAAAATGATAATTCGATAAAGGCGATACCACACATTCATCATATTATGCATAAAGTTAGCTGGTCAGGGAATGGGAAAATATTTCTGAACTGCAATGTATAATAGACTGGACATTCGAGGATAAGGGCAATAGCAATTGCATACATTATCCCCCAAAAGAGGTTCTTTGATAGATTTTTCCTTGGGGTTGTGTCTGTTCACAAGATGAAGTAAAGGGATTATGTAGTAGATATGATCGTCTCCATCCTCCTTTTGTTTAATTTTCGTTTTGGCTCAACTAGTCCTCCATCTCGGCTCTCTGAAATAGGAAACCGCTTGAGGATAAAACATGTATTGAGGTGGTGCTTGGTTATCATACCCGCGGGGAAAATCGGCGCGAGAGTATTTGAGGTCTGTTTTTCGTATATACATATAAGTTTGTAATAGGGGAACTCGCGTGTCGTGACGTGTCGGCTATCGAAAACTCGATCTCGGGCTCCAGAATCACAGTCCAGGTGAAGAAATTTAGTTCGCGGTAGAATCACTACCAAGAATTCACCAGCATCTCGCAGTTTCACGTTCGCTAAAGTCCGTCTCTCAATCGTATCAATTAAAAAGAAAGAAGCAGATATCAATCAGATTTCGAAATCATTTTATGTTGATTTAATTTATTTAATTTTATTTTATTTCATTTCATTATTCTTGATGTTTCTCGACTTTTTCAGTCAAAATCGAATTGAACCGCAGGACCTCCCTCCTTTTTTCCAGCGGGATATCGAAATCCAGAAATTTAAATATATCAACAGCCACCGTAGTGTAGGAAAAACATGAAGATGTAATAGGTATACAGACCAGGACGCCGCCCATATGCAGTGATATTGAATGAGTGTAAAGAAAAGGAGTCATTATTTGCGATGAGTTGAACGCTGATGGATTGGTTGTTCTTAGATTTATCTATCCGTTCGTTCGAACTTCGTCGTGATGGGTGGGTGTAGGATTGTTGGATGAAGGGTTGATGTTTGTGTGTGTGTGTGTAGATGGATGGATGGGATATAGATAGATATTTATTCCTCCTCGTAGAACCAGTATCTAAGATGTATTAGCACGCTGACCAAACATGAAGTGAGAAAAGGAAGTACATACTCAGCAGCATACTGCACGTCAAAACTACTCGACAAATTATCCTGACAAGTAGTCGGGGGGTTTCCTCCCGCAGTGTTGACTCTATATACCTCCGACAAGCCTCCTGTGGCCCCATCTCTCGCTGCTAATTTCAACCACGCTACGGCTCCAAAGCCTTGACCATTCTGTCCCACCGATGCACCGGTCGGAGCAGCAAGCGCGTCGCTCTTTGCGAATCCCCCTTGGCCTAATTGCCAATTCTTGGTGTTTAAGTCGAAAAATGGGGTTGAGGAATTGGTGAAGAAATGATGGCCGCTCATCATGAGATCGGCGGGGTGGAGATTTTGAGTAGAGGATGCAGCGAGGTTGAGATCAAATTGGAGAGCGACGTTAGGGAGGAGAGCGAGGAGATCAGGATAGGTTGCTGCTACGCAAGAGGCGTTGAAAAGAGTTGCGACTGCGCCGACGGCGGTGGGCGCTGCTGTGGCGTTGGTGCCGCATGTGTAGTTTTGGGTTCCGCGACCGATGGCGACGTGCTTGAGGATTAGACCTGTGGAGGGATCGGGCATAGGTGTTGGATCTGTGGAATTGGGTTAATTCTGGAATCTTAGATGGCGATATGGAAGACGAGAACATACATAGAACTGGTTGAGCTGCAGTATTGAGATTGCACACGGGAGCATGAGACATTTTCCTTCCTGCTTGGACTTTCTGACCCAACATGTCGAAGTATTCGGAGATAACTTGTTTTTCGGCGGGATGGGCAGCACCGGAGGAAAATGTATAGGTAGGAGCCGGGAGGGCCGTTGCTCCCAGAGCAAAGATGGCCCAAAGAAACGACGAAGAAACCATGATGAATAAGAATTGCGATTCGTAAGACTCAACAAGACGCAAGAAATTCCAGAAATAACCAAGCAGAAAACGACGCCAAAGGAAAGAAACAGAGACGTCAATTCCACACTTTATGAAAAGGATGGATAGATAAAATAAGATGAACCGAAACCAATCCACGATGATATGCCGGATATATAGACTCTCGAATCCCACTCGAAACAAAGAACTGACGGATCGATGATCGAACTTCTTAAGCGCACCGAGACTTCAAACTGTTCAATGAATAACTGGACTTCCAAATTCATATCTCACAGGCGCTCAGTAGGCGTCTTATACCATCAAACCGAACGGCACGATTGACGATACCCATTGGATTTCCCTGGCCATGATGCTAATCCTGGAAAACAGCCGCTTACCACCATGTACGCAAGATATGTAACGATTCTTTTTAATTGACCCTAAGGAAAGTACTAAGAAGAGGTTGTATCCCCCAGACCGGAACTAATCTTTTGGTTTGGCGGCAAGACAGGCCTTCACGGACCAGTCGAGAGAAACAGGGGGGTCGATTATGTGGTGAAAAGTCTATTGCATCCTTGCCTCTCGCAGATAGATCCTGGTATTTACGCAGGGGGCTCATGTGACTGTTGCATTGCAGTGTCTAATGATTCTTCCGATTGGGGGTTGATTGGTCCCTGATGATTTTTCGCTCGACGGAAGTTTGAAGTCTAATGTTCAGTGAGTGGATTAGATTGGATGCTGATCCGCTTAAAGAGAGCTTGGTGCATATGGGGAAGGGGAAGGGTACACAAGCGACAAAAAGGCAGATTGATTGCGCTAGGGTCGTTATGTTACCATTTTTGGTTTCTCGAAACGGATAGCGAATTAGATATTTGGGAGAGGTTGGGGGGGGGTTGTCCTTGATTCTTACTGCAGATGTAGATCTTCCTCTCTCTCTCTCTCTCTCTCTCTCTCTCTTCTTCGTGAAACCTTTGATTAGTTGCGAGACGCAGGTCCAACAGTTGGTTCTCTTCCCACTCAGAAGGTTTGGTGGCTGTCGTAACCTTTTCCTCGGTATTCACGACAAGATAAATACCAGCTGAGATGACTGAGAATTCCGATCTCCAAGCCCGAGTTGATGGATAAGGGAATGAATGATTACGTGAGAAGAATTGGTGGAGAAGCCTGAATCCTTCGGCGTTTCTTTTAATCAAGGTTTTGACATTCTTCGGTCGAGATCACAGTCATGGTTCCTATTCTTATTGCTCCTTTAGCCTATCTTACAACCATGGTCATTAGTTTATCCACTGTACATACATATTGCAGAATATGCTAACTACTTCAAATTTTGGTTAGATGTGTATCCCATACAGGTATGAAGATATCATGCAAAGATCCCGTCTTCCTTGCTATACATGTGTGAACAACAAACAAATATTGCACAACATCTTGTAGAACAATCTAATGGAGATGGAGCAGGAGTACACGGTATGATTAGACGTATTACCACCAACCCTAATCGGCACTGAGATATGCAATTAGTTTGACAGCATACTATATCCAATCAGCATCAGCAGCGACATCAATACTACACATCTAAGCAAACCATCCCAAACCCCAAGATCCGATAGCCGCGATATCTATCGAAATCTATATCCAAACTTGCCATGCGGATCTACAAGACCTTCATCCACAAAATTTCCTACTTAAAACACAGCAAATACCAGTCCCATTGAAAAAATCAGGCCATTTTCTCCCAATCCCTCTCCCAAGAAGAAGAAAACCCCCGAATCGAAAATTCTGTGCGTGCTCTCTCCATCTCCATCTACAAAATTATTTTTGGCATCAAAGCTTCAAATGAATGTCCCCGATTGGCCTCTCCAATCCGAGCGCTTATGTCTGTCTCTCTAGTTCCATGATACATCCTATAAAACCTAAAACCGAGTAAAATTCGGATCTAAAAGATCTATATTTATCCACCCAGTCTTGCCAAAGATGTACAAGCGGTAAGTTTATTGAATCGAATGGCATGATCAGAGCCAATGAATAGCATGCGGTAAACAAGATGTAGATTCTATGGCCAATTAGATGAATTGAAGTGCATTCGTTCTTTACATAGTTGGACAATAAGATGATAGATGGCTCCACATTTAGGGATTAGCTTTCCCGGTATTAGTTACTTGGGGAGGAAGGGCCTAGGAAAGGTCAAGGAATTCTTAAACGTTTCCAGGAAATTAGACGACCGTGGCCAGATGAATTTAGAAATAAACATATCAAAGTCATATCTCAATTTATACGGAAGAAACGGCAGAGAAATGAACGGTGACGAATCCTGGAACCTTCAATGCATTAGAACAAATTGGCAAATAGCCTCTATTATCACATGGTAGTACTACATGTCCTTCCAATCCATTAATCTATCATCAAGGAACCTTCCCATCGAATCCTTCCTGGTGCCAATCTCCATGCTGCGCATCCGAGGCAGAATCGACAAGTCCTTTCGCACCTCCAGCAGCTGCAACCGCTTGACCTAGATGACTTCCATGTTGATCTACATCTACACTACCTAACCAATATAGAGAGAAGAACACCAGCAAATGAAGAGCCACGCAATAACCTGCGAAGAGGTTTCGACTAGTTCTAGTCGCTAATACCATTCTGGTGATTGAGAATACTATTCTTTCCGGCAAACTCATACGTTTATATGCGCGAGCCGATTCTCGCCCACGGAACGCCGCGAAGGGCGATATGTTGGATTCGTATGCTGAACGGTAGCGATTCAATGCCAGTCCAGAAGAAGTCGACGAGGAAATCTGAACTGTAGATGGATTGGGATTTGTGGCATAAGATGAGGCCGATGAAGCTGTTGGACCTGCTCGATTGTATGTTGATATATATCTTGTCTTCTCATACAGGTTCAAATTATCCTTTTGCAAAGCAGAGATCTCCTGTCTAAGTGACGATACCGTGCGGTGACTTTCGGAAAGCTCATTCTCCAATTCTGAGTTGCGTTTCTTGAATCGATCACGCTGAGCGGTAATCATAGGGAGAATACCTGAACCTCCCCCTACAGGCTCGCCTGATCTAAGGACGTCTACGGGTGTGCTGCCCACGGGCGTCCTGGGATCAAATCCAGATATGATTGATGATGTGGGGGATATTCTGCGATTCCTCGACGCAAATTGACCAATTGCTGATTGAGGATAGCGACTTGTATATGTTCCGGCCACGGAAGGAGCAGAAGGATATGCGCTAACTCCATTTTGCATGTTCGTCAGATCATTCTCTAATGTAGCAACCAAGTTTTGCGCTTTTTCCAACTCGGCATTAGTCGTAGAAAGAGTTTCCTGCATTGTTTGCAAGCGACTCTGTAAATCTTGATGAGAAACTCTTAAAATGGTGAGCTCATCACTCAATTTTTTGTTTCTTGCAAGAAGAAGTTGCTCCAATGTCTCCCCTTTCGCTTTTCCGGATGAGCCATTTCCTGTCGGTTCTGGGGCATTGGAACTAGCCCCGATATCTTGCGTTTCATCGTCATCTCCCATAGAAAATTCGATACTCTTCAGAACTTCTAGTTCCTGCTTGACATCCTCATAATCGCTCCACTTTTGGACTTTAGTCTTCAATGAATCGCGTTCTTCCTTGAGCATCCCAATTTCTCTCTCTAGACTTCGGAGCTTGGTATCGAGATCTCGCTTTTTGACATCCCTTTCAACTCTTGCTGCGTCTAATTTCCTCAATAACGATGAATTCTCCGATCTCAAGCGCATGTAGGCTGGCTCGTCTTCCAAAGCCAATGCTGGCTGACTTGGGACTTGGGAAGCCGACTGAGCTAATTCTATTCGTAGTTGTTCATTTCGAGCTTCAACTTCTGCTAAACGGACGCTTGTACGTTCCAAATCAGATGTGACCATCTCTAACTCCGCACTCGTAACATGCCCGCGACTTCCATCCTCTGCATTCTCGGATTGTCCCATACGCTGGTTGACCTCGTAGCTCGCCTTGATTTCATTCAATAAGCGCTCCTGATTTTCCACCTTCTCTTCCAGTGATTTCTCCTTCGATTCCCAATTGTCCTTCTTTTCTTCTAGAACAGCGGCCCAAGAAGTTTCGACATCTTTCACTTTACTTTCCAAGCCTTCCTCTAGATTCTTGCGCGTAGTTCTTTCGGTTTCTAATCTGGATTCCGTATCTTCTAATTGACTGGTGAGTTTACTGACACTTTTCTGAAGATGCTCATTCTCTTGTGTAATCTTTGGAAGTGTATCCTCAGATAGCAGAAGGGAATCGACAGATGCTTCAAGCAAAGGATATGGATCTGGGGCCTCGGATAAGGACGAGTATACTTGTAGGAAAGCTGAATTCGTAGACTTCGAGTGGTTTGTGAGGAGATCTATAAAGGTCTGGTATGCTGTGGTAGATATCTGTGTCAGTACGGCAATACATTGCGAACTTTGAGATTTACCAACCTTTCAATAACCCTTTGATCTCAGATAGCTTATTTGCGTCATCTAACTTCCGGAAGTCCTTCGTCTTTTGTGCCAATTCCTTGCGCTGCACGGTCGAGTCCCTCTGATATTGAACAATTTCTGATGCGGTGTTGTCAAGAGACGGAATCATGGAGGTAAGGTCGATTGCTGTTAGTGATTAGCACGAGTATTGAAGTCCTATGGAACATCAGGGACTCACTCCTCCACGCCGAAATTGCCTTTTGAAACTTATTGTCCCCATCTTGTCCTGAAGCTACATGATCTGCGGGCGGAGATGGAGGGCTTGACACCGAAGCTGCCAGTGCTGATTCTGCGAAGTCGGTCATTGTAGTATGGACATGCGAGGGATTATAACCATTTGGTGGTGGAATTGGAGTAAGTCTAAGGCAAAATCATAAATTTCCTCTTGGAGTTGTCTATTGTGATATAATTGATGGACAGGTCTCGTAGGATGAATCTAAGCCTCCGAGTATTCACAGCATTGATATTAATCATATTGACATGATGCCTCATCTCAGACGCAAGCTGCAAGGTGTTCGTTAATGCTTATTGGATGACCCAAAACTTCAGAAAGTTCAGGGTGCACCTGGACGAGTAAACATCCCTGTAATCGCAGCCTTACTACGCTTCCCACAGGGCACGAGAGCCTAAACCAAACCAAACCAAACCAGACCAACCTTGGAAACCATTGATAACTAGCCATCATCCAATGCGCCGCAAAAGCAGTTCAACGGCCATGAGCGAGTACTTTTGCATTGGCCATGATAATTATAACTTCATAGTAAACCCTTGAAAATGGCTTCAAATGATGCGGAAGATATTTCGAATTCAAGGAAAAGGAAACGAAGAGTTCAAGAAAATGGTCCTTACGTTCTACGCAGCCTGATTGAGGACTTGCCCTTGTCTGCAGATGGAGATAGAACTGATATTGAAATTAATTGTGTGGAATTTCTAGGTAAGTAACTCCTCTTGTTATTTTCCTACCGTGTCCTTCTATTGCTAATGTACATGCACAGATCAGAACCTATATATTGGGACGTCGGCCTCGGAAATCCTTCACTTCGTACAGATCCCCCCGGATCCTACCGACATATCTAGAAAGCCCTCTTATATTCTAGCTTCGAGATTACCCCCTGCCTACCATGAGCCGTCTACTCGAGACAGACCTGGTGTCCAGCAGATTCTGCTGCTTCCTAGAGTCAACAAAGCTTGTATATTGTGTAATTGGACAGTCACCTTTTATTCCTTGCCAGAATTAAGTCCAGTCTTTGGGACGACTCAGATTCGACCTTGCAATTGGATTGGTGGCACAGACTTAAATACAGATCTAATAAGCCCTGAGCAAGATGGTAGAGGAGTTACAGTGCTTGTTTCGCTGAACAAGAAGATGAGAGTTGTGAGGATTGGGGAAGATCCTCGAGCTGTGAGAGTACGTTTAGTCGAGGTCATGCATAAGTGCTGGACTGATGTATCAATAGACAATAGATTTTGCAGGAAGCACTATATCCATCCGTCGTGATTCCTTTGCTTGTGTCGCAGATTCCCGGTCTTACGCTTTACTTGATGTCGATCGCCAGTTGAAAATACCCCTCTTTCCTATATCCTCCTCAGATGATTCCCAGTCTGGTAGCGTGGGTGGAAGGGTCGAGGATATATCTGGTAATAGCGGTGGTGGCATTTCACGAAACACGTCTCTGACCCATGGGAGTTCGTCAGATGACCGAAGCCATGGAAGGAGTACAAGTCTTGGTGCTTTCATAGCTAGTTCAGATCGTTCTGGGCGAGGCACCCCTGACCGCTTATTTCGTGATGCCTCACCTGTACCTACGGCCAGTTCTTCTGGCCCTGCGCAACGTGAAGCAAGTCCGGAGAAACCCCTACCGCCCCCGCCAGCTGATTCGCCGGCAACTAGTGCTCAAGATCCCACATCTTCTACGCCGCCTGTATACTTAAAGCCACATATAGTTTCGCCTTCCCCGCAAGAGTTTCTTCTGGTCACAGGTACTGGTACACGTGATCATGGAGTTGGTATGTTTGTAAATCTTGAGGGTGACGTTACTAGATCAACACTAGACTTCGCCAGATATCCTGATGAGGTTGTCGTGGATGGTCGTGGCGTTGATGTCGACCCCGTCCCCAACACAATGGAGGAAGAAGAGGAAGGATATGTACTTGCTTCTATGACATATGAAGATGGTGATGTAGTGCGACATGGTATCGAAATTCAACGATGGGATCTGGATCCTGGGGAGGATGTTATACAGAAGTTCTGGTTGGAAGCTCCACCTTCTGATGATGCGAGTGGCAATGAAGTAGAACGTAAGATTGGCTTGAGAGTAGTGATTCAACCAGGAGACATTTATTTCGATGACGTGGTCGACAAACTTCGACTAAAGCGCTTTCAACCTTTTACTTTGAAATCTTTGAACACATCCTTACTATCTTTGAGAAGCGCTGAATCGCCAACCGCAGCATCACTGCAAAGAGTCTCGGGCGAGAGGGAATTATTCGAAGAATCGCTTTCGCCAGGCTGGGAAGCCCGACGCAATGATGAAGAACAACAGTTTGCGCAGAGGCTAGGGAAATCACGGGCACGCGTCGTTACCTGGTCCGGAAAAAACGTGTGGTGGGCAGCTCGAAATCCACTTGCCCTGCGGCTTGATTCAGAACTTGACATGGAGTCTGAATATGAAGAGGTGCAATCTCTCGACAGAAAGAAAGCTATTGAAATGTTGAATTCTCTACGAGGCCGTGAAGCCAAAACCGAAGTCGAGTTTTTGAGCTTGGGCTATATCCGACAGAAAATTGGGTTGCTTATTTTCATAAGTCTATTGACGGCTCCTGTGGGTCAGGCCACAGAAACAGAATATGGAGCTGCCGAAGAAGCTCTTTCGGAGGGAAGCCTTGATCCCAGAGTCATTCTTGCTATTATTCCTGTTCTCAGAAACGAGATCATTGAAGGGAAGACTGGCATTTGGATTCATGGCGGTGTGAAGGAGGCTGCAGATAACTTTATAAGAATCACGAATGGAGTTTGGGAAAATCAAAACTCAATTAAAGATGGCATAATGTCTGAACAAATTCTTCGTTTCTTAAGGAGACTTCTGCTCTCTTGGCGCCAAAGGAAAGGATTTGGCAGCATTTCAAATGAGACTGAAGTCTTCAAAAGTGTTGATGCTGCACTTCTGATTGTGCTATTACAAATGGATACATCATCTCCTCGCGGGCCAGCAAGAGCCAAGTCCATACGAGCAGAACTCAATAACCTGGTGGATCACGGTGTTGATTTCTTTGAACGAGCAATTTCTATACTTCAATCCTACAACCGATTATACGTTCTTAGCCGTTTATACCAAAGTAAGAAGATGACGGAAGAAGTTTTAAATACCTGGAAGAGAATCATAGAAGGCGAAGAAGACAAGGGAGGCGAGCTTCTCGATGGCGAAAACGAAGTACGAAGATACCTACTCAATGTTCGAAACCCAGCTCTAGTCCGAGAATACGGAGTCTGGCTCGCATCCCGCAATCCTAAACTAGGAGTACAAGTTTTCGCCGATGGACAAAGTCGAGTCAAGTTTGAACCAACGCAAGCTCTCGAGATCTTACGAGAAGGAGCACCTGGTGCCGTCAAAGAATTTCTAGAATATTTGGTCTTTTCAAAACATCATTCGGAATATATCAATGAACTTATTGCTTATTATCTGGACATCGTAACCGACAAACTCGAGACATCTCCAGAAGCAAGAAGCACATTAATACAAACTTACGAATCATACCGCGCCCTCAGACCCCCCAAACCCACCTACCGACAGTTCATCACCGAAAATGTTCTCGAGGAGGAATGGTGGCATAGTCGTCTTCGTCTTCTCCAATTGTTAGGTGGAAGTCAAGGTTCCGCATCCCAATACGACGTCGCTGCCATCCTCGCCCGCATAGCTCCTTACACTCAAGAACTCGTTCCCGAAATAATCATCCTCGATGGGCGACAATCGCTCCACGAAGAAGCCCTGCGACTTCTCACTCACGGCCTAGGCGACTACGACACAGCAATCAACTATTGTCTCCTCGGCGGCTCCAGCATCTACCATCCCACCTCGGGCACCCTATCCCCCGCCACTCTCCCCACGCGCGCCGAACAATCTTCGCTCTTCCATACGCTCCTGCGGGAATTCCTCAAAATAGACGATCTGAGTAATCGCGTCAAACAAACTTCTTCCCTCCTCGAACGCTTCGGAAATTACTTTGATGTGCAGGATGTGTTGAGTATCATACCCGACACGTGGAGTGTGGAATTGGTGTCGGGGTTTTTGGTCAGTGCGTTGCGGAGAATTGTGAGAGAGAGGAGTGAGACGATGGTGGTGAGGGCGTTGAGCGCGACGGATAATTTGAGGGTTAGTGCGGGGTTGGTGGATAGGGCGAGGGAGTTGGGTCCGAAGATTGAGGTGGAGACGGAGGCAGGGGCGGGGGAGTAATTTGGGAAGATGTATGTGAAGTGTAGAGAGAGCGGGGGATTGATGGTGGTTTTCTAATTAGAGACAGTGATAGAGAAGTTACCTATTATTAGTTTCTAGTATGCAATTTATTTATTTATGCTAGCGTGTTCATTTGACATTTAGCATTCTTCTCCAATCATCTTGGTATTTGCAAAAGAAAAGAATTTTATATTGGTATCAACGTATTTAGCCTAAGTGTCTAACGACCGCTACATCTCATCATTAAAAGTTTAAACGCTAAGCGGCCAATTCGTACACAACATGCCAAGGAAACAAAGAGACGCCCAAAAGAAATCTCGCTGACGCCATTAACCATGTTCACAGCCATTATAATGCGCATCCCGCGATCAATGGCGATCAAACAATCAAAGGTTGAGCAGGGGGCGCTTCGCGCTCGACCTCTATATTTGGTCTTGTGTTTTCACCGCCCGCCTCTCCTTGCTCAACAGCTCTTTCTGTATGTTCACCATCATTTGCTCGTTCGGCGACACCCACTTCTCCATTTTCAGCAGCGACATTTTCAGTAGCACCATTTTCGGCGGTCTCCGCTTCAACGTGTCGTCTTTCTGCTTCAGCGGCTGCTGCCTCCGCTTCTCTCGCCGCATTATCCCTTGCAGCAATATGTCTTTCTCCTACACCCGGAACCAGACTCGCCACAAAAAGGAGCGCAGCATGTTCTGCTCGTCGAATTTGAGTTATGAGCCAACCTGGCTGAGCTTGTCTCTGTCTTTGTTGCTCCAGTATTCTTGCTGCAACTTGAGATTCATCTAGCTGGCCATGGGGTAGCCGAGCAGGGGTGTTTGCTTCCGCTGCTCCGTTCTGTGGTACTACTGCTGCATTTGCTGCAGGTACAAGTGCGGCATCTGGTCCAGCTAGCGGAATCAAGTTTTCTAAATGTCTTCTGATTGGACCCCAGAATTGCTCTGCGACACCATTGAAAACACCTGTGAGAACGCCTGTGTTTATGAGGAAGACAACTATTGCAAGTCCGCTCATCATCAAGAATCTTGACCAGCTGCTATTTCCAGAGGTGAAAAACCATACGAATCCAATCAACCGAATAACCAACCAAAGCACATTGACTAACTGGAGTGCGACCGGCACCCCTACTCTTTGAGCACGATTATGAATAGGCGGAAAATCTGCGGCAGGAACTTCTTCGTTTGCGCGCTGTCGGTTTCCACGTCCTATTCTAGCTCTGTGAGCATTTCTATTGCGATATTCAGGCAAGCCAATAAGGTCTCGGCCACCTACACCATTGCTCTGACGGGTTCTAGAGACACGTGGTGTATAGAAAGTCTCGGAATTGTTTATCAAAAGGGCACGAGGGCCAGAGGGAGACGTGAGTATGTATACCATTGGCTCCACAGATTGGGATGACGTAATGCTGGTAGATGCTGCTGGAGTTGGGGTCAGGTTTGGTAAAGATGCACTCGCTGCTGGGTTGGGAGACCTGGCGGTCAAAGGTGTACTAGGAGCGGATGTGGTCGCGGGTGCAGGGGTAGAAGATGGAGTTTGAGTTCCGGGTTGCGTTGACAGGGGAGTTGACGAAGATCTTGGCGCCGCGGAAGGTGCTTGGGGAGCTCTTAACCTGTCTACATTGCGCAGATAATTTTGTAAATCTAAAGCGGGGTTTCCAGTGCTTGCCGCTGGAGATCCAGGATGTTGTGCAAAGCTACGTCGCTCAGGTGATCGAAATGGGTTATGTCTCTCGGGTGGTCGGAATGTCCCTACAGGAACTGTGGTTGTAGTCTCATTTATCGTCACTTGCCATCTCTCCCCATTTGGGCCGACACCCTCCCGAGTATAAGTAGAGCTATGGTCAGGAGCCCTGAGTTGAGGTGTTGATCTACCGGCATTCATTTCGTCTAAAGCCGTAAACATGTTTGGTTGTCCGCCAGTATCCGGTGTCCCAAGTGGTCCTCCACGTCTTGTTCGCTGATGCTGCGCAATTAGTTGTTCAATGGAGGTATGACTCGCATTTGTAGATGCATACGGATTTCGAGTAACTGTGGGCGGTATTGGCATATTGTTTCCTAAATTGAGAAGACGACTAATCTGAGATTGATAAGCCCGAGTGCCTGCTTCTAGTTCTTGCTGTAGACGTTCCGCCTCCCTTTGTAATTGCTGCAGTCTTTGCGTGTGTGTGGCATGGTGAAAGTCACGATGTTGTTGGTGTAGAATTTGCGCGGCTGGCTGGCCACGAAACTGAGGTGGAGGGGTCGATATTTGAGGAGGGGGTATATTCGGGGGGTTGTTTTGTGCTTGAGGATCTGCAGCTCTCGTTGGAATTGCTTCTGGAGGAGCAGGTCGAAGAACGAGATGAAGAGTGTGAGTGTCCGGAGATGATAGCTAAGGTATTGAGTCAGCAAATGTATTACTTATATGTATAAACATATTCTCACGCTGTCTTGACCAAACACTTCTAACATTGTTTGCGATTCCCTCTCAAGCATTCGACCACGGTGAATCAGTCGTTGAGCTGAGTCGTTTGGCTTTGATTGCACGACTTCCCTGATCTTTGCTTTCAGTTCTTGTACTGTGGTGGTCACCAACAGTTGGGGGAAAGTCAATGGACTTGCGACCTCTACTGAAGGAGACACGATAGAAAGAGTGAAAGTTGGTAATTTTGGCTCTTCCTCATCCTTGGTGGGCGTGTCACTACCAGATTCGTTCTTCTCTAGTGATTGAGACATAGCGGATGCTTGATTGTTGTTGTAGTTTCGATATAAGACCTTGCCTCTTGCGATTGGGTTGGCCAGTATCTAACGCGATAGTCAGGTAAAGTGAGATGCTGAGTAGCTGTTTAAGATGTGGTTTCTTTCATAGTAATCGTAAGGAGTATGATCATACACATATAAAGGAGGGTATGGGTATGAATGAATGCTGACTTTGTAAACAACTACTGTCCTGCTGAAATAATTTGGACGATGTAAACGTTTAATGTGTCAACTCCGGTGCGAGAAAGTAAACGGTTACTATTATATCTGGTCGCAAGCTTCGGGATCATCTTGCTTATCTCATCTTATCCAAACGCTGCTACCGGGGAGTGGTCCCGCTAAGTCCCGCCAATGGACTAAACTAGGTATTTTAGAGGCCATTTTCGACAGCGGAAAACATGGCCAATAAATACTAGGCATATATAACGTTTCTTTTGATTCTTTAAAATCTTTTGTTTTTCGTTGAGACTCTTGTATTCTCATCTCAATAAGCAAACCGTGAAACGTTGACTGCAGTCTACATCTTCGCTACTCCTTAAAAGGTAACTCATTCATAAAGGCTCGAGAACGGGTTGTTTCCACCACACACTCCTATTATTCATGATCGATCTCCAGAGAGGATGCTCAGAATGCCAGCTTCCATTGCATGATCTAGCTATCTTGATTTCATTGTTGGGTATTATGTATTATGGACACAAAAGCATTCTTTTGTTTCTCCTTCTTTCAATCATCACTTTCAGAATTACTTCCTTCCAAATCTAGAACATCAAATTGGTTTTCGATACCCAAGCCCAATCTTCTAAAATCGACGCCTTCGGTTTGACCATCAATGCTACTGTATCCACTGTCACGTCTTTCGCCCTTGGTGTCTGGTTCTCCACGCCCAAGGAGCTCGCCTACTTTCCACTGCGTATAATTAGCAAATATACCATTAACAATACCCCAAAGGATGTCGTCAATTGGGTAGAAAGAGAAAATTGAGACTTACAGCAATTCTCTCGGCACCCATTCTTGCCCCTTCAAGATTTGGTGAAGCTGGACCCATTCTCAAGCTTGCCAATCTTCCAGTAACAAAGAATGGTATCTCGTCACTCCAACTCAGATCATGTGTCAAGCATGGGAATCCTCCGACGGTTTCGATGCCATACTTCTTGATCAGCGGTTGTACTGCTTCGATCTTCTCAAAGTTGATATCAAAACCTGTTGCATATATGATATGATCAAATTCAGGAAGATCCAACAACTCGGGAGAAGTCTCCACTTCCCACGATTGTGAAGCCGTATTCCATGAGGCGGAAGTAATGTTTGTATGCTCATGAAGTGATACCTGACCTTTTGAGATATGCGTTTTCAGAATATGATGATACTCCGAGTTGACGCTTCCACCATTTCTCGCTTCTTTATACATTTCCAATCTCTCCTCGTCAGAATCTGCGCTCCAGTAACGAGCAAGGAAGTGATTCTTGAATTTGGCGACCCATCCAAGTTCCATGTCAAAGTCTTTTACTTTGAGGGGTCCACGCATTATCTGGTATACTTTCGTGACGCCGCGTTTAAGAGCTGCATCTGCAATTTGGGCACTGGTAAGACCGCCGCCTACAACGAGAAGGTTCGTGCGTTGCTTGCGCGAGATCTTTTGCACCATATGTGGAGGAAGGAGTTTATCGTTCGAGCTGAGATATGAGGGAATAAGAGCGTGTGTTATGCTTCCTTCATCTGAGAATGGACAATCGGATGGCAAAGCTGGGTTTAGAGCAGCACCTGCTGCAAAGACAACAACGCGTGCTCGTTTTATACCTGTGGATGTTTGCAGTGTGAATACACCTGGACAATCTGGACATTCGTTGGGTTCATAATCGATCGAATTAACTTCGGACTTTTCCACAACATTGGCCAGATCATAACGAGTGGCAATATCTTCACAGAAGCTCTTGAAGAGTGCGGTGCTTGGTCTGAAATAATCTGGTCGGTCTCGCTCGTCTAGAAATGTGGTTTCCTGCTTGCTTTTACCACTATTGCAGTTAGCAACATTCTTTACATATTCTCGTAATCCGAAGACATCAAAACAACATACCTTTTTTTCATCTTTTGTTTTCTCTGATGTTTACTCAACTCCTTACCAATCACCCCATGAATCTCCTTGAGTTCATTATCCCTCCCCTCCTTCCACGTATATCCCCTCAACCCATCTCTATCTCGCGGATCCGGATGAAAAAACATCGGACTTCTCAAATATTTAATCTCCAGCTTCTTGAATCGCTCATTCCAAGCACTCATCCACTCGCCGCCGTGTGCATCTAGCACAGCGATATCGAGACCACTACAACAAGATGCACCTTGTACTAGTCGATCACTGGCTGTGTGGGAACGTCGACTTGTTTTGAAAGGTTTGGAGGTTTGACGTGCTGAAGATGCTTTCATCCAGTGATATCGTTGGTGTTCGGAATCTGTGAAGAGTGATGAAGGGGTACTTTCACAAAGACGTGCAGCGACAGCGAGACCGCAAGGACCCCCACCCACAATGAGAACATCGTGAATATGGATATCGTCAACTGCAAGCATATTTGGGAATTTGTACTTGGAGTTGTTGTGTTTTTCTTCTTGTTGCTGTTGATACAAAATCTGAAGGATTCTAAATAGTAACAATATGTATATACAGGATACCTATGTGTGGTGGGTACCTTGATGGCCAACCTTGATGGGTTGAGGACCCCTATGATTCTCAGCCACCTTTAACAATAACTTATAAAAATATTGTTTTGAATGGAAATGGTCCACATGTATATGCACCCAAAGTACTTAGTTTGTTTAAAATACTCGTTTTCCTTTTCCCTGTCCAACTTAAGCATCATCGACCCATCCTAATTGTTCACCCATTTTGACCTTTTGGCCCTTCTCAATGGCCCAATTCCAACCTCCCTTTCTCTTCTGTCCCATCCAGCCTTCGTCAAGACTTGGTCTTGTTCCTTTAGGTGCCTCGAACACAAGTACAACTGTACTTCCTAGTTGAAATCCTCCCATTTCTTCACCCCTTCTCAGGGCATGACCGTGAAGAATGGGGCTCGCAGCCTCGTAAGTAGCTTCGGCAAATCCACTATATGATTCCCCGCGTTCTGCTGCTTCGGCGGCAGCTCTGTCGGCAGCAGTATCTGTTGTTAAAGAATTGGTTCGTAGTTCTCGATCGAAATTGATCTTAATGGAACCAACGTTTGTAGCACCAACAGGGATGAAGGAGAAGAAGCCCCACCTCCATCTGCCAAGAAGAACAACCCGCTCATTCAGTGTGAATAAACCAGGTAATGTTCGTTGGAGATAGGGTGAGACTGAGTATAGTTCTCCAGCGAAATGGCGGCGCTTCTCAGCGACCCAAGCTGTTGGAGAATGGAAACGATGATAGTCACCGGGTGCCAGATATACAACTACATAATATAAAGCAGTCTTGTTCTCTGTAGTAACTCGAGAATACCACGGCTTTTCACCAAGAGCAAGGTCGGCACGAACTTCGGCTTCAGAGGCTGGCTTTGGTGTGGTGGAGGCATCACTTGACTTCTTTCCTGGTTGCTTCTGGGGCGGCCCAGAGAGTAAATTTGGAAGAGTATATGAGATACCATTTACAGTTGCAAACTTTTCGTCTTGCTTGATAATCTCTTCGTCTCCGTCATTGTACCTCGCCTTACTTTGTTTAGGTGTGGTATCTTGAGGCGGGGTGAATATACTGGACGGATCTGCAGGATTAGGAGTGGTAGCTGGTTTGCTGGTACCGAGAAGAGCATCCAGACTATAAGTCATTCCCTTAACTTGTTCTACCTCGCCACTTTCGATTGCACCGAACTGAAGAACCCGACCATCAGCTGGAGAAAGCAACGCATTCGGATTTGGATGAAGTGGGCGAGCTCCTGGTTTCAGAGTACGATAAAAGAATGAAGCTAAATTAGGGTATACGTGAAGATCGGGTTCTGATACTTCAGAAAGACTGGCAGAAATACAATTAGAGAGTGCATATTTTTTGAGATTGAGAGAAGTGCACTCACTTAACACCGAAAATAAAAGAATACAATTTAAATCCGGGTACACGTAGATAGTAAGGTATCTCCAATTCATTGAATCTGCCCCATATTCTTGACATGGCTTTCAATGGGAGAGTTGACATTACTTGAACCTGCCTGTAGACTTGTTAGCTAGAAGCTCAAATACCGAGTGAATTACATACCATGGTCCCGAGGGCCTTACTCTTTCTCTCCTTCTTGCTCGCCCTTGATAACCTTCATCATTTCCATCGTCTCCAGATCCTACACTCCTCACAATTCCATCTCCGTCTTCCTCTCGCCTCCTTGCCTTTTCTCGCTCATTCACTCGATAGAACTGACCAAGACCTAAAAAGCCTATACCCAAACCCACAGGTATATGATACCATGTTATTTTTGTATCATTCAAAGCCCTTCGTAGTCTCGTTCCGAAAGTTTCCTTGTATTCGTTCTGACGATAAAATCTCGCAGATGATGAAAAATTCCGAGGCCTATGACACCGGCATATGCATTGCGATTGTCCTAGAATTGACGAAGTTCGCAGAGTTTGAAGACCTCGCTGCGATGATTGAGATGGAGTCGCATGCGCCGCGACAAGTCGGTATGCCATCGAGGGAGTCGGATTGAACAATCTCGTCCTTGTGATCAAAAATGGGTTGTTTTCCAATATTCAAGTGTTTAGGATCAGCAATGACGAAACTCATTTATTTTGCCGTTGCCGTTGTTCACCGCTTTCCAGCACTGTTTTTCGAAATTATCTTTCGAATGAGTTAACCAATTTATTATTGTAAGAGAAACATGAAGTATCTGAGTAAGTAATTGGATTTACTTGTACTAGATTGAGTATAAAAGTCTATATGTTGTACAAGTTAAAGTGTAGATGTTATGTGATGGTAGTAAATCTTAATTATCATGAGCAGTTTCGTCTGTCCCCTCCCTCCCATGCAAGCATACTAGGTACCCCGCGAGCCAGCCAAACCTAATATAAGCAAGAGAATATCTATTTCTCTTTTCCACCAGAAACATCTCCCAATAGCACCATCAGCAAAATATGGCGAACTCGAGTTCAGAAGTCATGGGCGCGTCACAGCCATCTATTCAAATCTCATTCCCTCTTCCAAAAGCTCCAGAGACCAATATCCATCTTCACCTGACAGTCAACACCGTTTCAATATTACTGTTCCTCACAACGGCATTAAATGGCGATACTTCCACTGCACCACCTCTAGGTTCATTCGTCTATGCGCTTCCCAACGTAAGTCATTCTTTAATTCTTACTTTGTCTCAATGTTCTAACATATGTTTAGAGAATGAATGCTAGTCAGCCACTTTCTACACCGTTGTGTGTCTACGAATCCTCAGTCGAGTTCACGACCCGTCTTGCAAAATTGTTAGCGCGAAAGACAGGAAAGCCCGTCTACGTTGGCAATTCTATCAGCTTCGCAAGTGCAGGAATGGGCGGGACTGTGGAGGAGGAGGTGGAAGGTTTCAAGAAGGTGGTGGAAATTGTCATGGAACAAGTGCGAAAGACCGAAGGTGAACTGATTGTGAATGATACCAATGGCACTTAAATCGAAGCTGTCATTACCTTCAATACTCCCCCAATGGAGATGAAGCTCCAGCTACTACACACATTATTCTAGTTCGTACGAGGGAGAGCGGACGATACCGAGAATCGGGTTCTTGCAAAAGCAAGCTACAACTTGATAGTTGTGCACTCTACTGTTGTACACATGCCGGGTCTAGAAATGACTACTGAACTATTCAAGCCATTTCAAGAATGGTATCACCTGAAATCAAAGATTTATAGGCTAAGGGTCTTCATCGAGGCTTGTATCATGATCAGTTTGGTGGGACAGCAATAATCGTCAGATGTACGACCTGACAAAGAACAGGACCAAATCCTTGGGATCTTACTTGCACATCATTATCACTTCGCGGTGCAACAATAACAGAATAGGAACTCATCAAGGTCCAATTCTACTATGTTCTTACATTGTTCTAAAGACTTTCAATGGACCACGACTCACTCCGCCAATAATTCAATGTCTATCAATTCTTTCATTGTGTACGACCGTCAATCTTGTCTAGAATTTGCCAAAGTCTCAATAATGTCATGCGCCCTTTCTGCATGCAAGATTTCCAGGCCATTGCCAATTCAGAATCTATTTTAGACCTCTTGAGGAAGATAAGGCTATACAATTTCATTTCTATCCTTGACACAAAAGTAGTATCACTTACCGCCGCACTAAGACCCGATCTTTGGGGGGGGGGGGGGGCATTGGGAATGAGTTGGCTTTATGACATAGGGCTGGAGCTACAATGATCAATCATCGGATAAGTATGTGTATGAACTGTCCCGGCTGCAGGTCCGCAGATGTGGCTTGTTGATGGCTCCTCACAATAAGTCTATCTGAATTTGAAGCATTGTGCGATACGCCAACCCACTGAACGTAAATCCTTTACTGAATGAATAGAACTAGATATTTGCAATTCGAATTTTTCGTGAATACGATATTCTTTAGGCTGGGACTTTGGGTTCTGAAGTTACACGGTGTCTTGGAAAGAATCTTTCTTCGTGTTATTGATAAATTGCAGGAACAAATAGTGTATCTACAAATATCAGTCATGAGGTAGCAAGTAACAAGATATTGATCAGTCTTGAAAAGTAAAAATGGTTTGATGGTGCATTTCTTATACCGGTCTTAATATTAGTCTTAAACTTGTATCCTGATCTCCCTAGGTATCTATAGACATCTATATTTACAGTATCTATATTGAATATCCAATTCCGCGTCACTTCTCCCTTCGATCATTGGATTCTACGAGCACTCTATCCCATCTCATCATTCTGTAATTCTACCCAATCTTCTTAGTTAAGCAACGCCCATATTTTCAATACTGACGACAAGCTCTCCAGTCAACTACCCCTCAAAGAGTATTTTCCCAAGCGAGAAGTTCGCTCTTCGCAAACGTCCAATTTCGGCCGATAGTTCTTCAACAAGCACGAGTAGCTACCTAGGCACGCGTAGTTGGTGGTGGGTACAAGTGAGTGAGTGAGTGAGTGAGTGAAAGAACAGAGACAAAGAGGATACAGCACTCAAAAGGGTTAATTGTCAAGTGTACTCGAGTACTTCGTAGCATACGCAAAATGGCCTTACGAACCTACCTATCAAAGGTTGGTAGCCGTCAAAACTCCCCATATAATTATCAGCATTCACTTACCCTCCAGTAATAACTTTTTCGTGTTGATGATACGTTTCCATCATCCACCAAGGTATCTCTATCTACATAGTACTTAGTACTACCTGCCTTCAGACCTACCTATCGGGTACAATATAAATAAATAAAACCCTTTGTCATTTGTTCTCATTTCACCAACCTTCTACGAAAAGCTCTACGAAAGGCCCAGTCCAAAAAACAAAAAACAAAAGCTTCAGTCACAATTTTACACAACCATTCTCCTACGTACGAGTACACCTATTCACATTACACAAACCAATAACCCCCCTGCAAGCGTTATTATATGGGTATCGTCGTACTAGTACCATATCGACCCCCAAATTTCGACACAGCTTTTCTCTGCCGCCCTTGGATCTAGCAAACAAATTGACACCCCACCAAACTCCTACTTCATCGAATCGTAACACAATTCACATCCTACCTTCTTTCTTGCCATTTCCTCCTCCATAGTTGCGATTCGTAAGTCATGCTCCTCCTTTATTCACGCCTCATCCAATGATCTATCAGATTCATCAATCCTTTTATAAACCATTATCACAAGCTAACTCTTCAACCTTTGCGCTAGATGTCGACCTACCTCCTCTAACGTCCCACAAGCAAATTCTTGTGTTACCCCTAGAGCTTCTATTCCTTACCTTGGAGTGCGTACCTGCATATCGGAATCTTGAGAATACTCCAAATCGAAGGTGCGACAGGCTCCTAGTGAGAGGGTAACAGATATGGCGTGGCAGCCAGAACAGGAGGCTTTGAGGCAATTGTCAGGATGCTTGAAAGACTCGTTAAGTGGGCAGGACAAGACTGCTCAGAAGCAAGCAGAGATTGTAAGTTGTTCCTTTGAAAATGCATAATCTAAGATAGAACTGCTTTGCAGAGCCCGATCTAATTACTATACCAAACAGATGCTATCTCAAGCAAAGTCTTCGCCAGACATCAACAACTACCTGACATACCTATTTTCGCATTCGGAGGTTCCTTCGGGCCTAAATTACACTTCACATGATTACTTTGCGATTCGATCGGCAGCAGCTGTTATGCTGAAGAATAACATTAGATCTGGGTACAAATCGATACCTCCTGAGAGTCTATCTCTCATACAAACTTCGGTTCCATTAGCCCTTCAAGACAAAATCCCAACCATACGAAACTACGCCGGAAATGTTATTACAGAAATAGTTAGTAAGGGAGGTATTTTGGGATGGCCACAGATTTTGCCAGATTTGTTGGCTTTGATTGGGAATACCAGTGGAACAATTTCACCAGAAGCACAGGAGGGAGCCATGGCAGCTTTGTCGAAGATCTGTGAAGATAATCGAAAAATGCTAGACAAGGAATATCAAGGACAGCGACCGCTTGCCTTCATCATTCCAAAACTTATTGTGTTCGCCGCAAATGAGAGGCCACGAATTCGAACTTTGGCTTTGACCGCTTTGAATATTTTCATTCCACACAAACCCCAAGCCTTACTTATTTCTTTGGATGATCTACTTAACCGCCTGTTTCAACTCGCCAGTGATCCCTCAAATGAAGTTAGGCGACAGGTCTGCAGAGCCTTTGTTCAGATTGTGGAGATCCGACCTGATAAGATTCTTCCTCATATTGGCGGATTGGTTGATTATATGATAGCACAGCAACGAAAAGTTGATGACGAGGAGTTGGCATGCGACGCCGCCGAATTTTGGCTCAGTGTCGGGGAGCACAATGAGTTATACACTGCATTGGGTCCATACCTTGACAAAATTATACCTGTGCTACTCGAGAGTATGATATACAGTGAGGAAGATATTGCCATGCTTGAAGGTGGAGGCGATGATGCCGATGTCGAGGACCGCGCCGAGGACATCAAACCTAAGTTCGCCAAAACAAAAGCTGCCAGAATGCAAGCGGCAAATGGGGACAACAATGGAGCGGCAAATGGTGTTGATTACACTAAACTCGCAGGCATGGAAAATGATGATGACCTTGATGAAGGGGAAATCGAGGACGATGACGACGATGAGGCCCCTGAAGACAGGTGGAATTTGAGAAAGTGTTCAGCTGCGGCACTTGACGTTTTTGCAAACGATTTCCGCGGACCAGTCTTTAACACGATTCTTCCATACTTGATGACCAACCTACGACATCAGGAATGGCCACACCGAGAAGCAGCGGTTCTCGCTCTCGGTGCCGTTGCTGAAGGCTGTATGGACGTTGTAAGACCACATCTTCCCGAACTGGTACCCTACCTGATCTCACTCTTGAATGATGCCGAACCGTTGGTTAGGCAAATTACCTGCTGGACCCTCGGTAGATACTCGGCTTGGGGGGCTGGGCTTGAAGACCCGAACCAACGAGCACAGTATTTTGAGCCGATGATGGAAGGTATTCTGACAAAGATGTTGGACCGCAACAAGAGGGTTCAAGAAGCCGGTGCTTCAGCATTCGCACATCTCGAAGAGAAAGCAGGTACCAACCTCACGCCGTATTGCAAGCCAATCATTCAGCAATTTGTCACGTGTTTTGAGAAATACAAGGATCGTAACATGTTCATTCTGTACGACTGCGTTCAAACACTAGCCGAGCACGTAGGCCAAGGTTTGGCGCAACCAGAGCTCATTGATTTATTGATGCCAGCACTGATAAACAGATGGCACAAAGTTTCTGATCAATCACGAGAATTATTCCCACTCTTAGAATGCTTGTCGTACGTCGCTACTGCTTTGGAAGATAGCTTCGCCCCATTTGCCGCCCCCGTTTTCACGAGATGTGTGACAATCATTCATCAAAACCTGGAAGAATTCATGGCGGCGGCCAATAATCCAGGGTTAGATACTCCGGACAAGGATTTCATGGTAACTAGTTTGGATTTATTGAGCGCGATTATCCAAGCAGTTGACGATAAGCAATCTGCAGCGCTCGTATCCGGTTCGCAGCCCCAACTTTTTCAACTTCTCGTATATTGCATGGAGGATCCAGAGAACGATGTCCGCCAATCATCCTACGCATTATTAGGAGATTGTGCAAAATACGTGTTTCCACAACTACGAGAATTCCTCCCCACGCTACTCCCTGTGCTCATTAGTCAACTCGACCTTGATTCAATTGTTGATGAGCAGATTGAGTCGACCTTTAGCGTACTCAACAATGCATGCTGGTCGGCAGGTGAGGTGGCAATTCAATACCAAAAAGATATGGCCCCATACGTGCCCAAACTGTCCGAAAAATTCCTCGAAATACTGTCCAATCCAATGGTACCAAAGTCGATGAACGAGAATGCAGCTATAGCTCTAGGACGGATGGGCTTGTTCAACGCTGAGATCCTGTCACCCCACTTGGCCACCTTTTCTCAACCATTTCTTAAGGCTCTCGAAGATGTTGATCACACCCTGGAAAAGGCTACTGCTTTCAAGGGCTTCTTGTCGATTGTCATGTTAAATCCACAAGCCATGGAGAAAACTTTGGCCCAATTTGTCACTGCAATTGCAAAATACGGAAAGGATGTTGAACCCGGCAGTACTTGGAACGTCGAACTACAACAAGCATTCCAACAAGTAAGCTATTGATTACCTCCTGTCATAATATTTGGACATGACTAACATTTGTTTCTTCTACCACAGGTCCTCGATGTTTATAAGGGTCTAATTCCGGATTTCAATGCCTTCCTCAATAGCAATGTTGCTCCAGCAAATATCGCAGCTTTAAGATCAACATACAACCTGTAAATATCTATATGGACAGGATGACCTTCGGGTCAGTGCGAAAATCCAAGGTATATTGCAATCTGAGAATTGAAATGTTTTACAATTTAGGCAGATGGGCCTACATGGGATAGGGAATGATTGAAGATGAATGCAAGCTGATAGGTTGCAATTTGATGAGGAAAAGAAAAGGTCAAACAACAAGCATGCAGGAGCTCGAGGGCAAATTATGCATGGAATATTTGTATTTACAAAAGAGATTCAACGTGAGGAAGATTACGTTTTAAGGGATGGATGGATGGATGGATACTGATGATTAAAGCGAATGGGATGATTGGCGGTTTGGAAGAACGATGATTGAAGGATGGGAATCCATATGGGTTGAAAGAGGAAAATAGCATACTACATTCTGGCAAAAGAGATGGCATGGCGATCGATTTTTCTTCTTTCTTTCTTGATTTCTTTCAACTTTGTCCTTGAGAAGGTGTGGAACACTGGTAGGGTGTTGTGGGTTGGGCGGATAATAGCCCTAAGGACATGTCATGCATAGTCATGGGTGGATAAATGGGAAGTGGGATGGATGGATGAAAATGCAAGTAAGCAAAAACAATTAGATAGATATACTTGATCTTGATACCTCTTCTTGGGGCTTTAAATTCTGGGGGGAGAAGTGAACGAAAACATGGTCATCGAGAAAGTGAAGAGGTACAGGTGGGCAAAAAATGCTTTGAATGGGATGGGCGAAGGGAGACATATTTTGCAACAAGCATAGCGTTGAGACGGGTATGTTTTTGGCGATGGGTTATTATTTAGGTAGATAGATGAAGTAGATAGATAGCATATAGTTGGGGAGCGAATAGTATATATTAGTTTAGAGGGAGATCTTTGAAACGTTTGTTGATTGATTGAAATTTGAAGGGTACGAGTTTAGAGTGATGGTAACGTGAATGTAAATGTATAAGTTGAAGGGTAGGTGAGGGTGAGAACGAGGATGCGGGAGGTGAAATGGGAAAGTGGAAAAAGGGGGGCAAGACGCTCCGGTAAGGAGGTCGGCAGGAAGGGAGGGGGTACATCCCCGGATGTATGAGTTGTCTTTTGTAGGTAGGGCGCATACGTCTAGTATGATGTTATGTTATGTAATGAGCTCTGTGGAGCAGTGGGTTGCTGGGGGGAGTGAGCTGAAAGCCTGATATACCGGGAGTGGATAAGGAGGTCCCTGTGTTTTGTGTGTGTGTATATGTGGATGTGGATGTGTGTTTAGATGTGGATGAAAAGGGGATATGGAATTTGAGAATTTGAGAATCTAGATTTTCAAGAGTCTGTCTTGTGGATTGGAGGAGTGCGGGTTTCACCGGTGGAATGGATTGGATTGGAATGAGTTTGAGTTTGATACGATGCATGCTGGATCGAAAGGAGGTGAAGTGAAGTGTGTTGATAATTCGATACTCGGGAATCAGGAATGAATGGCATTTAGGGCAGACTATCCACATAGAACTCTATTCGCCACTACTGGGTACACATGTATGTATCTTGCATGGGATGGACATCTCTTTAGATCTAGCTACACATATGGGTCCCCTACCAGACATCTTTACTCAAAGCGAAACAGACCCGTGAGTAGGTATCACGATTCATGTATCTACAGTGCCGCGATATAAATCATATAATCATAATATACCCAAGCATCCTCCACATGTTAGTCACTAGGGCTCAAACTTTCCACTCGTCTACTTACCTACAAAGGTACTTTAGATCTCCCCGAGACGAGACCCTGTTTCCACACTCATCCATACATGCACTCGCGGAGATATCCCCGGAGCCCCATATTCACTCTATCATACTCTGTACTTTCTCTTGTCCACCGTCCCATCCCATCCCATCCCATCCCATCCCATCTCCGATCCCCTGTTTCCCGGAGTGCCAGTAAGATCGATCCACCCCTTCTTACGGAGATTTCAGGACTCGAATTGGGGACTCCCGAAAGAAGATGAAGGGAAAGAGGGGGGAGAAGAAACGCCACCTTCCTTCCTTTCTTCCTTTCTTCTATCTTCTTCCTCTAATTCAATTCTGGATCGCCATGATTAGATCGACATTGAATCAGCCCCGAACCGAATAAACACCAATGGTAAGGGCGATTCTCCCCGTAGCAAACTATAATCTTGATATCTTGCTTCTACTCTAGACTTCCGCGAGTCGCCGAACCCAGGGCCGTGGGGCCTAAGGGTCTGTAAGTTTCCGTAATTGTTCTGTGGATGCTTCATTCTGTGAGATTTCTGATGTCGATCATGGTTGAGTTTTTTGAGTGGGGGCAGGGGAGGGACTTCCTCGAGTATTCCAGGTGGATGTTCAAAGTTTATGCTTGTATTGATGTACCGAATTTGGAACTTGGTTTTGGGGTTTTGGGGTTTTGGGGTTGAGCTATTGAACTATTGAATGTGCTTGTGGACTATTCGATAAGGGGAAACTTAATAGATAGTGAGAGTTTGGACGGGAAATCAAATCAAATGTAGAGGGAAAGGAATAGAGTTGGGAGGATAACCGGGGAACGGGAACGGGGACGGGGACGGTTGTGGGAATGTAGTGTATTTTGTGTTGTGTGTTGCTGTGGCGAAAGAGATGCAAGTAAATCTGGAGTGGAGGTCCAAAGCATGAGATACATCGAAAGTTTGATTCGTGGGGGAATGCCGGAACGGGATGGATGGATGGATGGATGGACGCATAGGAATCGTTGGATTAATTGGAGGAAAAGCATGGATTGGGAGAGGTGGATAATGTTTCTTGAATCAAGACTAACGGTGTCTTGCGTATTTGATTTATATATAGAGCCCGCGATTAGAACTGCTGGTATTGTGGTGGGAGTATTTGGGTGATGTATGAATTTGGTTATGCTTGGAATATCAGAGAACATCGACTTTGAGTAGAAGCTGAGTGACTTGTGGGGGTTTAGTCTATTTCATGTTTTTGATCCTATTAAAGTGCTGTATCCGATTGATGTGCTCGACCATCTAGAATGTTCAAATCATTTGGAGCATTAGTTTCGTTGGGGACAATCCGCAGTAGCATCTTCGATCAACCTCAATCAGATATTGCAAATCTCAAGTTTACCTACCGTTGCATCCAATGCAACATCTTCACAATGTTTGACATGGTGACACTCAATGCCCCCGGATAAAGACTGCTCATATATTCAAGCTATGAATTCTCGCATTGAAAACCTACTCGGGACCTGAATGAAGCTCAGGTTGATATTCTCGAATAGTAAACTGTCTTCTAAGTATAGATTCTCGAAAACAACAGTTTTCCCACGCAATCTTGAATGCCATCCCAGACTCCTTGTTTGATTACCAAAAGCGAATAATCAATGAGTGATAAGTGAACCCCAGATAGTAACATGTATAGTAATGTCGGTCCTTTGCGTACTGACTCGATGTGCCGATTATTCGCTCAGAAGATCCCTTCACCGGGAGGCTTCGCCCTCATACCCGTGAAATATTAGACAATTACGAGGTTATTTCCCTTAATCGCAAGCCAAGAAACCATTAAACGCCATCATTCCAGACCGCCCGAGCGACTTCGCCGTCAAAATACTTGAAAAGCTGTTCATCCTACGATTACACCACCACAAAGTCGTGGTGGCTCATCGAATTAAAGTGAGAACTCTACTTAGAGTTCTGACTCCAGCCTTGTTGATATCAAGACTGCCTTTCCATAGTTGTGATATGTTTGTTCAAGGAGACGAGCGAAATTATTCGTATGATGCGACCCCCTGAACATTGGCAACAATGACTAAGACGGCGTGCATGACATGGCGATTACCTCATGCGGCAATTTCTCGTTCTTCACCGAATGGTCGAACGATGGCGATGGCAGTGACTGGAACGAAATCGGGGTGGTACGGCGTACTGGATGGGTTCTATACAATAGCGGTACACACCTGCGTATGTGGATGATTGGAGGATTTTTGGAAAACTTGATAATATGGAAAGGGTTAATCATGATTGTAGATGCGTGCAGGTAGTCAGCCATACATTTTCACGGTTTGCTGCTGCTGTTGTGTTATTGAATCAATGTAGCGTTACATGTTGCATCCATCCTCTCAGTTTGTGGGTAGCAGATTCACACCATGCGATTCCATATCTCGATCCTCAGCAGACAAAATGCATACCTGCAGGATTATAAGCGTTGCTCGTTATTCCAATTCGTCTTTCCTTTTAGGAGAAGTGGGATTACTGCAGTGATACTTGAGTACATGCGAAAGAAAAATGACACGTTCACCGACTATCTATAATTGGACCGAGGGGCTGGAGAATACATGAACATACCCCGCAGTCTTTATTGTTTTTCTTCGCGAAAGTTCTCTTGTATTCCTCTCCCTGTGCGATTAACGCTCTACAGCAAAAGTACGCCCGTCGATAGGACAGGTCATAGATCTTGTGTGTTCGACCTTGCAATAACACGTTATGGTTGCAGCATACGCAGGATTTTCATTCATCTCCACCCTTCTCTACTGACGGGGAGCCAAGAAAACACGGAGCCTTCGATCCCCGATTGGAGACTAGATAGAATGGAAAATCTAATACAACGCCTAACGACATAAACATCAATGCGGTCCGAGTCCGAGTGAACGATGGCAGCGGAGGTATCAAAAGAAGTACACACACTGAGTTTTTCTTTCGTCATAGGTCAATTCTCAGATCATGCAAGAATAGGATAGATAAGTCAAGCCTAAATAGGTGCTTTGCGTGTAGAGTTACTTTTTCTTGCACTTTCCCTCTCGTGCGTCTCAGAAAGGTAGTTCTAGTGAGGAAGCGGGCTGTGGCACACGGGTCGTAGTATAGCGATAGTCCAAACCGTTTACAATACTAAAACTACACTATTTGAAGCAAATCCTGCTGCCTGGATATAATGGTTGATACTGAAGTGTAGTCTGAACCGTAGCCTGAACCGTAGTCTGAACCGGCAAATAGATTTCTGCAGCCACAACGAACGACCCTCTTGTCCTCGGTCGCTGAGGAAGATAAAGTCCGATTCATGTGGGAAGATCGCTGACTTAAAGATGTGTTGGTCTCCTCCTTCCCTACGGATTGCCTCTCACTCATTGAATCAGCATCGGAGTCTCCGGTACCTAGGTTCAAGTCCACTCCACATATCGGGATTTGCGCGAGGTGAATTCTCGGGATGAGTTCAAGAATCTTTTCAATACTGTTCGATTTTTGCACAAGTGGATCGAAGAGAACAATACAGAATAACGGCCCCAGAAAATAGAGTGTTTTTAAGCGAATTGATTACCCAATATAGCCAATATATATGGGCTATTTTTAGTAATCAAAAGAGTTCAAAAGGCTGTCTCGGCTTTTAACCCTCATTGCCCTCCACTCAACAGCTACACACACCAGTGTTGATCAAGAGAAGCCAAGACCAAACTTTACTTGGATTATAAAAGCTTGACCTCTTGGCGCTGTAGCCCAGTTTAACCAGTCTTACGGAGAACAGGCGAAATAAGGTAAGATGTTTTTCATAAGTATTGTGCACAGAACCTTGCCCCCTGCTTGCCCTTGTACATTGATACCGAGACAAAAGATCCCAAAAATGTATTTTTATTCTCCATAAGATCATGAACGGGGCAAGTGACATGGTCATTAAACACATACGACCGGATATTCAATGTCGATACTTCGGCCCAACAGATGTTAGATATGGTGGCTCTGGATGTATACTACCACTGATTTTCGATATCCCCTTGACTGTTACCCATGACTCGATTCCCGTTGATTCTCCATGCTCTGTCCACACCGTACTCACTCAGATATCTCCAAATAGGGAATTGGACTTCGGATGACATCTATCAACATGATTTACCAAGAGATAGAAATGCAAGGATTGGTTTCACAAGCCGTCCGAGGCTAAGTATCATGTGGTGGCTGCATAATGACTCTGATGTTTTGAGGCGTCTAATTGGTTCACAACAGCGTGTGGAAAGTATGAGAGAGAACTACTCTAGGAATAACCATGTTCTTCAGCCTCTCCAAATGATCCAGCAATGTTGTCATTTATGCAGAAGCCCACCCAAAGTAGATTGAGTGAACACCGCAGAGTCAGGGTCCAATGTTGCGGTTTGGAAGTTGGAGCCGGTTAAGCATTCTTTATTTGGAGCTTGCGCCGGAAACATCAACCTAATGTTCTGAGCTTAATTCTTCTTCACGATGAATCAAGTTATTTTTTGGAGCATTCCGCGTTGAAACTATGGTATTTACGTAGGAGATAGGAACCTCGATGGGGTAATCTATATTAGGTTTTAGACGAGGGGGACGAGCAGGTTCCCCTCGCGTGTCTAACCAACATACTTCACCGCCAAAATGATCTTCCCATCGGATGGGAAATTCCACGACCTTTAATGAAGAATTGTTGAAGCTTTCTCCCCGAGCTTAGATTTGACGTGCATAGGTCAATCTTTGCTCAAAAAACCCCATCCCATCGCCAAAATCTTTAACTAAAGTTCCACTCGCGTGGCAAACATGTTATCTCTTCGAAACTTCCCATATTTCGTACAGGATCAAGCTTGGGTAGTATCCATGGTGATCAAGAAATAGTAAAAGGTCATGGGACTTCCCTATCGACCATGTGGATTTCCTTTCATCCCGAGACAAATCAATCCTTGTAATATGGCCCTAATTGCCTCATCTGTATCAGTAGCTTTGTGCTGTAGCCGTTAGCCCCACATTACAGAGAAATGTGCAAGGGATAAGCAAGGCAAAAACAACGTCTGTGGTAAGGTTTCTAGGTTTCTACAAAAAGGGTGCTGTTCAGAAAACCAGCCGAGCACACCACTATTGCGCTGGGGAAAAGTGGGCAAGTGGGGGAACGAACGAAACCAGGAAACGCTGCAAACTTTATGTTAGCTACCAAAGTGCTAGGTGAAATCCAGTGTAGTGAACTGTGGATACTGATAGTATCCCTATAGCATGGAGCCTCGTAGGCGTCCCAATCAGATTTACTCGAGAGTCGTGAAGACACAAAGTGTAAGAAAAGACAAGCTATTATTCGCGAGAAGGACCGAGGATCTACGAGTTTGCAGCACCAAAGATCACAGAGCACTGTAGTGAAGCACAGCGATCGAAGTCATGCATGTAGAAAATAAATGGGAAAAAAGAGGCGACCCGACAAACAGTGATAATGAACAATGCCTGGTAAGATCGGACCTGAATTGTATCAAATCTGACCACTATATAAAAACGGACGATTATTAACACAGCTGCATGTATTGCTGTGTGAATAAAAATAGGCGTACAGTAGTGTAGTTTCTGTGCTTAAAGCTTGCGGTAGCTGTTGTTGTTGTTGTTGTTGTTGTTGTTGTCCGATTCTCATACTACGTAGTATTTCAATGTTGCATGTAAACTTTCGTGTGCTCTTTAGTACAGCACAGCACGGCATGCTCATGTACCGCACAGAAAGGAAAGTCGGATCTTCTAGAAGAAGAATGGATACTAAAAATACACTGCTGGGGATTTTGAACATGTCTTTTTTAGCTTTTGCATGCTGCAGTAATGATTGTGCCCAATGACTGATGTACAGACTTATACCCTTCGCTCCTCTAAAGAGTAGTCGTTCAGTAGTTCCATGCATACGACTGATGTTTTGGCCACGCGATTGACAGGATTTGATGAAGGAGGCGTTCGAGGTAATATGTGTACTGTATGATCGATGTCACTATCACAAGAAAGTCTCTGTGCATAGCAAGATAGCATCTTACCACCTTCTTTTATGCTAAGGACGCAGAAGGAAACGATGGAAGTTTTGACTCATCCTCATAATATATGAATAATCAAATCCCTCTGCCCTCTTACCATCCAATACCCAAGTTCATATAACCAAATCCCTATCGACCCATAAGCAGTGACATAAAGCGGTGAAGCCAAGGCCCTAGTCCTTGGCGAGAGCAAGTGAACCAATAAAGTGCAGCAAAAAGGGGGTTTTAGGGTTTGTTGATTTTTCTCGTTACAAAAAGATGGTGACTTGTAGGAAGAAACTTGGGAAAACTGAAACCGTATAGCAGAATCCCCAGTCGCAGATCTGAACGCACGGGATAGTGAGATATGGCTGGGTTCACCCTTTCAGCCGCGGCCAACCATCGGTTCGATCTACGGACCTGTCTAAGTGAGACAATCAGAGCTCAGAAGCTCAACGGTGGCCCGAGGTCATGCCTGGTAAGGTTCGCACTTGATACTTAATGCGTAAAACTCCCTGTTTAGTGTTGTGGGTAGCCGAATGAAATACTGAAGAAGTTGAACACGCTCTCTCCTTAAGCAGTTGAAGATATCTAGACGGCGATCGGGAAGGATGAGTTCACTCCCCGAAGTGCTCATCATGAGATTCTGTATGGTTGATAGATGCTGTATCCAATTCCTTCTCCAAATCCGGAGTAAGGTTTTGGAGTGCAGAATATGGAATTGTAATACCCATTGAATGTACAGCCCGACGGAGTGGTAACGCGGGACGCTACTCAGGAGTTATGAGATAATGACTTGGATCATAGGGCAGAACATGAGTACAAATGAAAATGCCAGTCGGGACAATTTCGTCTATCTGCTTATTCTGCTAATTAGATCACTTGATACATCTTTCTACTTTGCATCGTTGTCCAAAAGTAATTAATATATATGATTATATAAAATAGACCGGGGTAGTATATCCGAATTCCGTGGGAAGAGCGGATCAGGATCAGGTATGAAGGGGCTATTCCAAATATCGACGTGGTGTAGAAGGAATTGGTATTCAATGCCCTCACAATGTTTTTGAATGACATCCTCCCTCCTTTTGCTTTTGATTTTAATTTTGCACAGCCGCCGGCAGTTTCAGTCAGCCTGTCATCAGAAACATCGCAAACATTCAGGGCCTCTCAGCACCGTATCATGACATGGTAACGATGGTAATGATGCAAAAATGGACACGAGAAAATGTGTGAGCGAGTGCGAAAAAGTGCACTAATCTTCTACATTTGGTCATAAAGAATGCTTGTCTATTTTGCTTGCTTCCACCCAATTCAAGACCCCTTTTCGACAGTGCGACACTGGTAAGAAATCGATTTTCGAATCCGTCATGCTGGTCGTGGTTTAGTTCGAGGCGGAGTCGTTCGCCTGTGTCACCAGTATCGACAAATGCGTGTGTACGAGGAACCCTTGAGGCCATCTTCCCGTGAAGAGTGGTGTTGGGCTTGAGCGGCGGGCAAGCGTCGATGCGTAAGCTGCGTTACAATGCAATCATAAGCTGGTTTAATTTGATTTGATTGTGCTCATAGGCTTTCAAGTTTCAGCACAGCAATGGAGAGTGAGCACAAGTAAGGCAGGCGATGGATGGATGTGATGGATGTGATGGATGTGAAAGGTGTGATGGATCATGACGTTCCCGAATAAGTAAAGGATAGATGGGACATCGATAGATATCGGGCCTGCTTCACATTCATGCATTTGCATTTGCATTGCAGTGTGCAGCGTGGTGCAGAGCGTATAATATGTTCTGATCGAAATGTCATCACATTCTCCGTTTCGCTTTGTGCCTTGCCTTGCCGTTCATCTCGTTGATTACTATGATGTGTGATGTATCATGGACGTTACGTTGAACGGACGAGGAAACGGATTAGGTGGGTATATTCAATTACCTCGGTCGAATGATTTGGTTAATGATTGAGCCGTGTGTAATGAGTAGTTTGGAAGTGTAGTAATTCTAGTTTTTTTTCCGTCTAGAAACTTGAATGTACTATTACATCAATCGGTATTGCTAGTAGATTTTGACATTTTGACATTTTGACATTTTGACATTTACACTCTCATATTTCCTAGTGACAGGCAACAGCGTAGTGTATCGACAAGCTTTCTCCCTTGGCTATCTTCAGTTAAAGGGAAAATACTACAATGCCACACAGGTAAGTTCATCCAGGTCCAATCCAGGTAATTAACCCTTTTCTATCAAATGATGTAACAAAACCTCTGTCATCCAGTCCAAGCAAAGAAAATGGAGGCTGGAGCCCTATGCCCATAGCGGGTACCATCTACTTCAAGATTCATGGAACCCTTTGCATTGATCCAGGATATTGATTCGTTCGCCATAACATTTAAGCATTGAAGGAGGGTGATGGCCAACAATATTGCAAGCCAATCCTTCTTCGGGTAAGAAACATAAGAGAATGCGGTAGGTCTCCGTTGGTGACATGCAAACAGAACTCGGAAACCAACCAGTAAGAAGATATCATCCACTCTAAGCATCCACAGACAGATAAATGTGAGGCCGTCCTCCAAGACCAATTCGGCTATCCAACCCGATTCAAGTCATTAAGCTGTCAAAGGCACATGTGAGTAAGTCATTGTGTGTCAGGTACGTACGTCCGTATGTAAATGTTAGTGTACGGTTAGAACTTAGCAGATGTTCATAAAATGTATTTTTGGATCAAGGTGCATTCCGCCTTCCATCCACTACTGAGTACAACCAACCATCACGACCTTTGATCCTTGTTATACCTTATTCCATAGACTGCATCAGAAGATCTACGCCGCTGAAAGCTGGTTCGTTGTTCAAGACAAGGAAGATGGGAACTTTTTCTCCACTAACCTCATGTTTCTCCCTACATTTGAAGTTATGCACCGTCGCATCATATTCACTACAACGCAGGAATTGATTTCAAAATTAGGTAAGTGGATGATGGATTTGCTAGCATGTCCGCAGTAAAATAGAGTTTTTTTCTCAGTCTTTTCGGAAAAGCTAGATGGGAGAAGATGGAAAGCGGTGAGATTTTGATAGGTAGAGGAGGGCGGAGGGGGTTTAGATTTCTTTTGCTTTGATTATACAGTAGAAACTTTGAGCGAGCGAACGAACGAACGAACGACGAACGGTAATAATGTTTGAGGGTTAAAAATAATCATTTGGTTCAATCGAAACTTCGTGTAGACAGAGAGTATGTCGGAAACGAAAACATCAACTTCGGAGAGGGTTAAACTAAAATAGGCTATTCTTATCCGAGCTTTCGTCTTGCCCATTTCCCCCCTTACTTGTTTGCCCTGCCACCTTTTTCCAAGTGAAACCTAAATGGACTTTTTCAATGTCCGTTTTTTGCTCACTTATTTTTGGGCACCCATGAGCATTGTATCTGCGGTACTTACAGGTATCATAGCTCAGGTTTGCCTTGAAAGTTTAGTCTACTATTTTGACATTTATCACTCTACGTGTGAAAAGGTTCAAAGTTTCAATACTTCATAGCACCGGTAAACTGCGGATATTCAATGTTGCTGTCGCAGTGATAATAGCAAAGCTACCTTGAAATAATCCAACCAACTGTCAAAGCACATGATTAGTTCTGGTTGTTCCGCCCCCAAAAAGAGATCATTATTGTTTATCGGAGCCGAAATCGATAGAAAACCAGTTCCATTCTTCGGTACCCCCCGTTACCCTGCCCCCATTGACCTTTTTTTTGAACACATTACGTCTATCTTACTAAAAGAAACTTCTTCAGTTCCTTGGTATTATACAGCCTATATACTATTACTCTATAACTAATAACTATACTGGTATATGACTAATATCTGATCAATCCCAAGACCTCACTCACACTGACACAGACAAAATCTTCCTCCTTGTGGCACCCAAGATTGTTTGTTTGCCCTCCTCGTTATGAAAATAGATCTTGAAGTAATGAATGAAATAGTGGAGAACTGGTGGAATGGATGAATAATTAGATAGTGCACTCTTAGCCCAGGCCCCAGGTGGTAAACTACAGCAGAGAATGCCATGGCGGCATGGCAGATTCTGCCATGCAGTTTGCTAAGTAATGGTCTAATTGGTCTAATAGATGCTAATATCTGCTGTCCCTTGGAACTATTGTAGCTCTTACCAGTATTTAGTTCTTAAGTTTCTCGATGACTACAACGGGAAAATACTCACTAATCAAACCATTTCACTCCACCTGACCTATATTTGCCTATTTCACCCAAAAAAAGATTTTACTTCCATACACTTATCATACACTACTAACCTTTACCCTTCCTACTATCTCCACCATACCATCCAATCCTGACCACACTAAATCCAAATCATCATCATCCTAGACACTCCGTACCACACTACCCTGCCCTACACATGCAGGCTTTCAAGCGCCCCGCATCCCGGGTACCTTGGCTGTGCTGAGAGCCATGCCTATTCCATCAATTCTGCCACACTCCCGGCAAGGACGCCTTTTGCTATTAGAATGCTGGCATCGCCAGCCAATTCATGATTTTGATATTTCCCTTTCGCATCAGGATCATCCAGAAAACAAACACACTTCAGCCCTCACGTTCGCTGCAACTCCTCCCTCCCACCACATTCGCTTGTGTGTATCACTCTTAGGAAGCCCTCGTTGGCTCCTTCCGTTCGCTTTTGTGTCGTCCTCACTCAGCCCTAATTCTCCCAAAAACCTAAAAGGCAAGCCTTCGGAGGAAATTTCTTTCGTAGCCTTGACTCACAACAAACCTTCGTTGAACAACTTGAACCCACACAATCGCTACGCAATCACTACCCTTTGTGTGACGATTATATCAGGCCGAATTCTCCCTGGATCTTCCGGATACTTGAAGAAATACCCAGCTTATATGCTTACTTGCTGCTCCAAGTCTGTCCAAGCTCGCCTCGACATCGGAATACAGTTACGTTGCGTTCAGCCGCTGCGCCTTTAGATCTGATTGTTTTGTAATTCAAGAAGATATTGAACCCGGCTGGCTCTTGCAGCCTTACTACTACACTCGCTTGCAGGACGGTGAAGCTTACATATATCCGGCAGCCTCGGAGACCTTTTAGATCTCTAGTACCTCCCCCTCCGTTGCCTCTCTCACACAACATATAAACTTTTTAGCCTTCTATACATCTTGTTGACCTTACCTTTTCAAACTCGTTTCGACGTTGGCTTTCACTCGTTCAAGCCTTCGTCGTCAATTATTTACTCACCTTATTTTTTCAACTTCTTATCTTCCTAAAGCCTTATTCAAAATGGCCGGACCTGGAGGTGGACCCCCTCGTAGGAGGTAAGATATACACTTCTGGGAATACCTTCTGGACATAGACTGAACTTGAACTAGTCATACCAAGTCTCGAAAGGGTTGTGAAACCTGTAAACGTAGACACATCCGTTGTGACGAGAACTTTCCTCAATGGTATGTCATTGAAGAACAAATCATCTTGCGACTTGAAGAAATTTCAAAACTAATCATAATTTAGTCGAAACTGTACGAAACATAACTGTCGCTGTCCATATATGGATATGCCAGTACAGGAGGAACGAGCCGCCACACCCGAGAAAGCAGACTTGTTATGGACCCCGGAGATTGAAGCAGACATCGAGCGTTGGCAACAGACCGGGAACTTTCCCTTCCCTGATCTATACATCTATCCAGCTCCCAACCCTCAGTATTTCAACTTTGAAGACCTTCGCCTCATTCATCACGTTGCCTCCGTTTCCAGCGAGCTCAGCATTCACGACGCAGGAAATTTCACTATTTGGACTCGACAGATTCCACTGTAAGATTGCCCACTTTTCACAATGAATGTTTGGCATGCTAATCAAGCTTTTAGCTTACTCAAGATTGGCTCGAGCTATCCTTTCGTCATGCACGCTTTACTTGCCTTGTCTGCCACTCATTTAGCTTGGTTGACAGACTGTCCTCTCACGGCAAATATGGCTTACATTCATCGTGGCATTGCCCTCAAAGGCTTGCACGAAGCGATTGGAGAGTTTTCTCGTCAAAATTCAGATGCAGTCTTGGGAGCTTCACTTCTCCTTTCTTGGCAAGCTACGGAATGGTAAGTCATCAACGAAGCTACTATTCAAAGAACATAGCGCTAACACACACTTAGGCGTGGTTGGACCCAGCTCATGCATGGGACTTCATCTGTATGAAATATATTTAATATTGGGTATCACATTTCAGTGTCGACTAACATCTAATAGGTCATCGACGCTATGCAACCTTGGAAAACGGAATCTCAATTCGGTGATTTTATTGCAGAGCAAAGTACGTTCCCAACCGCACCACCATCTCCGGCGCCCGGCCAAAAGAAACTCAGTCAACCACGCAAGCAAGATTTGGATGCATTGCAACGCGCCTATGCTCAACTTCAAAAAGTTGAAGTCCATTTGAAGAGCCACGGCGAAGACACCAAGGCTATTCAACAACTCATGAGTTTTGTCCGAGGTGTCCGAAAGGTATCTCCATCCCATACCGCCGCTCAGCGATTCGAGATGCTCAACCCACTTCGAGCTTGGTTATTCTGGCTACCGGTTATGTTCTTGCAACAAACACGCGGATCGCCCTCAGCGCTAGTCATCCTCGCTCATTACTATACCATCGCTTTGGTCGTGGAACCGCTATTCCCTGAGGTCGGAGCAGCATATTTTGGCAGTCTTTCTCTGGGACCCATCGAAGAGATCGCTCGCCGATTGTTCTCCATCAACGTTTCGCAAACCTCTGATTCCAACATGCAAACACCTCTTCATCTTATGGAATATCCCATAGATATGGTTTCAATGTTTAGAAGTCGTATGGGATGGGTTCAGCCAGAACGTACAGCTTCTTTCCCGACATTTTCGCATCATAGTTACGGTATGGAGGACAATTTCAACACTATCTCTCCTTACGGAAATCCAGCGTTCACCTACAGCCAAGAACATATCATGACCATGCCATCGGATCCGACATCTTCTGCAGCCATTCCGCCATTAAGTCTCGATCCATACGCCACCAATCATTACTTGGGAATTCCATCGCCAAGTGGGTACGGCGGGTATCATAGTCCGGCATCTTCGAACTTTGGGGAGGGTTCAACGGTCTACAGCGAGCATGGGGAAGATTTTGCTCTGTATGAGGGACAGGGCTCCGGCTCCAATTTCGGCGGGTTTGTGCTTCCGACCGTGTGGATATAAACCTCGAACGAAGGCGATTTAACATTTACGACCAGGACCACAACATCATCTTTTCAATTCGAGCCCAGGTCTTCCGCGGACCAGATCAAAGGCGAACATTCCGACCAGATGCAGCAACACATGCAGCATTTACCTCAATTCCAACCTTATACCTACCATCCTCAACAATCACCTCACTATCAATACGACAATACTCCGGTGGACCCCAAGGGGAAAAACCGCGAGCTTTAATATCAATCATCTCCAAATTCCCCTTTTTAAATATGCGAATACGCGCGCACCGTCGAGTTTTTACGAGATTATATTTTATGGATCTCCTTAATTATTGTTTTTAATATCTACATCATCCTAACGACTCTCCTTTATATCCGACCAATGATCTCACGAAGTTTACGATTTTCTTTTGCTATGCATTCTCGTACGAATACCAGCACCCACGATCCTTTATATACCAAGACAGCATCTTGCATTGGGCGGCGTTTTTTTGGCTGGGTTTGAGAATTGGAGGAATTATTGATTGGGCTGAGCGATTGGGCTGAGCTTTTGGGCTCAATGGATAGCCATAAATGGCTATAAAAATCAGTTGGCGTTACAGTTAAGAATAGTAGCGATCTCGTGTGTTGTGCGAACAGGGTTAGATTTGCAAACGTCTGGGGTTGTAATGATAATATGTCTAGATAATCTATCAGATGAATCTGTCAGGAAATCAATCAATCAATCAATTAAATTAACAATCCACTGGTGTTCTTGAAATCTCAAAGTGATCTGCTCAATGATGTGTGACCTGTCTGATATCTCTCCCCTTCCGCAAAAACTACCTACCTACTAGGCATGCAGTCAGCTTCCAAGAAAAAGTAGGTTATTAGGTCGAGATCTCAATATACCCATATATTCCTCTCCACAATTATGTATAAATTCAAAGATCTACAGAAACGCATCGACGTTAAAAATGACGTGCGTCTACTCCCTACTGTTCAATATATCAACACAATTTTCGTCTCATTTGGCATCTCACCGGGGGCAGCAGGGATAGTCACGTGAAGAGGGGCTTAGCGTCAATGTTAGCGGCAAGACGTAATTGGTCGCACCTGGAGCTTACCTAGTTACGGAAGCTTGAGCTTCAAATGTTTGTAAAGTTATAATTCAAAACTACTTCTCTTTCACCACACGTCTTGTACATTAAACTATGGCAAATATGAGTGGTGGTTGGTCTACTAGTAAGTAATGCGTTCCATATATCACCAAAATTTGAATAGAAATACCAACAATACTAACAATTCCACTCCAGTCGAATCTGACGCAGTAAGAAGGCCACAGCACAATTCCTGATCTAGAGCAAACAGACAATTAACATCATCCTCTTACAGGGAGTCTTTACATTTCTTCTCGATAATCTCGGTGTCAAAGATGTCCAATTCGAAGAATTGATCGCGCTCGATTCTGATTATCTCCGCCAACTCTCTCCCATATATGGCGTCATATTCCTCTTCAAATATCCCGTCGGAGAAGCTCCCAATAAAGATGGCACACCCAAAGATGGTGCCTACGATTATCCCGCTGCGGAAAATCTCTTTTTCGCGGCACAAACTATACAAAATGCTTGTGGTACCCAAGCACTCCTCTCGGTCCTGCTGAACAAAGATGGAGAAATAGATGTTGGCACTCCCCTTCGCGAATTCAAAGACTTTACCGCAGGGTTCCCCGCAGAGTTTAGAGGAGACGCGCTCAGCAATAGCGATTTGATTAGAGATGTTCATAACAGTTTCGCTCGGTCAAGTCCGTTTGTTGATGAGACGCAACGATCTTCGAGAGACGAGGATGGAGATGTTTATCATTTCATTGCCTATACGTCTATAAATGGTACGCTCTATGAATTGGATGGTCTGCAACCTGCACCTATATCTCATGGAGCATCGACTGTTGAAGAATTCCCAGAGAAGGTTATACCAGTTTTACAGAGGAGAATAGAACGATATCCAGCGACGGAGATACGATTTAATTTATTGGCTATGGTGAAGGATTTGAGGGTTAGAGCGAGGGAAATGGGTGATGTAGAGTTGTTGATGAGAGAGGAGCAGAAGAGAAATGAGTGGCAGTTCGAAAATGCCTTACGAAGACATAATTTTGTAGGATTTGCAGGGGAAGTATTGAAGGGTGTGATTGGAGAAAAATTGAAAGAGGGACCTAAGGCATATGAGGAATGGGTGGAACAAGCGAAAAATAAGACAAAGGCGAGAGCGGAGGAACAGAAGAAAGGTGGTGGAGATGGAGATTTAGAGATGTCTGGTTGAGGGATGTTACTTACGATTGAGAATTCGAGAAGACATCAAGTTGAATTGGAACTTCTAGGTTGATCAATTATCATAGACCTAGCATCACTGGAACTTTGTACGCGGATGGAACTTATGAAATGGCATATATGATTATTTGCAAGCGGAGCATGCTAGTCAAAAAGACTAAAACATAACATCACGTCAAGGAAACAAAATGGAATTTGTTGCCAGGAAACCCGGTTGGATCGATTCTTACTCATCTTTCTACATTTCAAACAGTAACTTCTTTGTTGTGTTACAAATCATTGATAAACAAACAAACATACATGTCTCTTCCTGCCACATCACCATCGCCATCACCATCGCCATCACCATCACCATCAAGTAAAAAGTTAGAAAGTTCAGAAACTATCCTATCGTGTATGGATGGATATTTTAAAATCATATATGTACTCACGCCGCCGAAACGCTTATGAACAATAAACAATATCATCCTGAATTCCCATACCCATTCCCAAACCCATCGCTTCATGCGTATGTATATATGTTTGTATGTATGTATATCATGAGCAAGCAGGTAGGTATGTATAAATATATGTAGGTGTATACAATCACCGCAATCCCTATTTCGCTTTTAAAACCTCGAAAACCCCCAAACCCCCCCTAAAACGCCCTCACTACCTAACAACCTGCGCAACACCTTCTCTAATACTTTCCCGCATCCTCGCTTCTTCCTCTCTCCTCTTTTCCCCTTTCATCTCCTTCCCCTTCCCATCCCTTTCCTTCTCCTTCGGCCCCTCATCTTTAATATTATTCCAATGCACCACCCCCAACTCCCTATCCACCCTTAATCTCTCTCTATCCTCCTCACTCACCAGCACTCCCTCAATCGCCTTGACTTTTTTCGCCTCCACAAACGACATGATGCCCCCCGCCGCCGCAACCATACACGCTAGCGCCACAAAAAGTCCCGTACTCCACGACGGACGATCGTACCGATTGAGTCCCCACATGAACCCCGCGAGGACGGCTTGGAGGAAGGTATTCCACACCATGGTCCAGACCACAAAATCGAGTTTCCACATTGCGGTCGCGGGGGCTCGAACACCCGTTAATGGTGCATCCGGCGATTTCTCGAGAGGAAACGCGAGACTTGCTTGAGGGAGAGAAGTACCAGAATCTTGGACATCGAGTTGCGAAGGACCGATTTCCGGGGACAAAGACTCCGAGCCCGCGAGACGAAACCAAGATCGATTGATCCCCGCCAATCTTCTCAATCCCATTTCGTTTTTTCCAATCCGGTACTGGAGGAGATAATACAGGTCGCGAAAGCGCCAGGGAATGGTTCCGAATCCCGTTACGCAGAAAAGAGCATTGAGGATTTGCGAATCAATTTCGATCCAGACGCGGCGAGGAGAATTGATGTCGTTGCAAGTGGGTTTGCACATGGCGGGCGACGCATTGCAGAGGAGTAGAAAGAGCATACCGCCCCACGCAACTACATTCAATCCGTAAACCGTAACGAGAAATCCCACGGGAGTGATGAAGAATTGCCAAAAGGCTTTGAAAAAGATGGCCGTTGATACTTGCCATGAATGTTTGGGCGGAAATTGGTATCCGTTATCGAAAGGAGTGGTTCGGTATTCATCATCTATCTTCGCATTGTGAGACGCGCGGGTGGCATCGCTGCTAATCCGCACACTAGAATTCGGTGTCACAAGCACCTCATTCCTAACATCTGGATTCGTAGCCGTAGAAGTACTTCTCAGAAGCGAATGCGCATGTGAATGATCCTCTTCCTCTGGAGCTTCAGAAAGAACACCATATTTGGTTTCCGTACCCGATGGGACTTGATCGGAAGTATTCATACCGGCCGAATCCTTTCTCCTACTCTTATCCTGGTCTCCCAATTGTGAGAAGGAACTTCGAGCAGAGCTTGCGCGTCTCCGTATTTCTCTTACCTGGCCCTCGCTTGACCAACCCTCGACGCCAAAACTTCCTCGTCGAATATCCGTGATCGAAGGTACCTGCGCTGCGATTTGTCCCGACGCAATACAAAATCCTGTCGGCGGATTCGATTCTTCAAAGACTTTCGAAACTCGCCGAATACTACCCAATGTACTTGATGCTCCTCTACTTCGAGTATTTCCTTGTTCGTCGACTTTGGAGGTAGACGATGGATTTGGGGGGGAAGATCCCTCTAGAAGGGGGAATGGTAAGACACTTGGTTCGATGCTAGATTGTTCATCTTGGCGTAGGTGATGGGCTGGAGGCGAAGCTGTATTGGCATTGGCATTGGCATTGGTATTCGCATGATTCTCGGCACCGGCCGCGAAAGTATCATGATTAGCCATTAAGAATGTATGGGTTGATATGGGTATCGAAACACTGTCTCAATAACGTGCCGCAAAATGCAACGAAAGAATTTGCTTCTTCTTCTTCAATCTTTATTCAGTCATACTGAGCACATGAGCATCAGTAAATTGAGTTTTGAACCAGGGAAAGAAGTAAATAAAGTTGCATCATGAATCTGTGTACGGGTATGCGACTGTCTAGTGATTTAAAGAGTTCTAGGCTTCGCACGATCCGTCCAGGAGATGGGGATTCAGGGGTTATGTATGGTAAACTTAAAATTTTAGCGGCCTCTTAACTCCACGTAAAAAATCTGATCAGCGCAAAGAATGCGAATGAGGGGGGGGGGGACTTGGTATTCTCGTATTTCGTATCTTCGTGTTTTCGTATTTTTCGCATCTAATAGTCTTCTAGTTTTTACCTACTCCGTAGACAGTTACATTACTGTGAAATTTGAGAAAAGACTGTTATCTTCCTGTGTTTATTAATTTGTGACGTGAAGTATATCACGTGTTTGGGTGGCCAAGATAGAAGCATTTATGAATAACAAGTATGTAGACGTAGGGAATGGAGCCAGAGGATGAGTGCATTCTATGGAATGAAATATATGTGCAAACTAAATGATACAAAGAAAGAAACATAGGTAGATGAGTGTTCGCATTACAAGATTATAACTATTTGGAGTGATTCAAGATACGAATTTGAACTGTGTATTTCAAGATTCATCCAAGCTGTCTGTTTGTAGAGCTTGTGAAAAAAATCCAACATCATTCATGTCCACGCTCTTGAACCGTATGAATGCCCAACCCGATGTTTCCATATTCTCGTATTCAAATACAATTTGTAACTCAAATCGAAAAGCTCGCGTCAAAACAGTAGAAAATAATGAAATCAAATTATGAGAGCTTGCCCTCCGCTTTCGCAGCTAAAAAGATTGTTAGCTTCACTTTGAAGTTGTTGCAAGATTCTTACCTTTTACTTGCTCGAACACTTTGAGCATCTTTCTTCTGGCTCCAAGCGCGTTGACACCCCTCTTCTCTAATGCCTCGTCATCTAGTTCCACAAGCTCGGTCCAATTCATATCCTTAAGCTGATCGGTGTACTTATGTAATCTCAAACTTCTCAGCCAGCTGGGAATATCTTGAAGAAGGCTAGGATCGGTAGGATCCTCAGGAGGCTTTGAGCTACCCCTTCTTCCACGTGGCGATCTACCCCGCGCCATTTCACTATGATCAGAGAGATACCCCTCATGCTGTCCCATACCAAATGCGTTAAGACTCAACCCACTCATGCCATTGTTGAGTAGGGGTGAGGCTCCATCGTATGCGGCCAAGAAGCCGTTATTCTGTGGAGATGCGAAATTGACTTGACCAAACCCGCCTTGCATGGCCAAACCTGGAGAGCTTGGCCTAGACTGCCTGCCGCCGAAAGAGTGCTGCTGCTGAGCTTGAAGCCCTAGGACCTGGTCTCGGCTCATTATTTGTCCGTGTTCGTTAATCATGACAACGTTAGCGTTTGGCATGTTGTTAGGAAGACCGGGAGAAGGTGGAACCTGTCCACCATCGTTTGATCTAGCACGGCGGTACTTTCGTACATCATCCAAGGCAAATCGATTGTTGACTGTAGAAAGAGCCGCTAATTTCATAGCCGTAGCGTTTGCGACCATATCGGTGTTGCTGTTCGAAGCATTGAAATTGGGGACCATTGGTGTGTTGACCATCGAGGCCCAGTTTCCATTCCCTGCATTGTATGGCGAAAGTAGTGGCATATCAGAACCAGTATTGTCAGGCGCGTTAAGTACAGTATTTTGAAGGTTAGATGAGCCTTGAATTTGAGTAGGCCTGGGAGAGCGCAAACCACCAGCTGAAGGTGGCGGTTGCATAAACTGACCCATGGGTGTTTGTCCCGAAGATGACTTGGGCCTGTTTGCCTGGTCATTACTGCGAGATCCCCATGGTGAGGCGGGAGGTGCACTATTGTCCGCCGAGTCTCCAAGACCAGCGATGACAGGTGCGGTGAGAGAGGCACGGTTATCGTAGGCTGCACTATTTCTGTTGGATGTAGGAGGATTGCCCCAGTTCTGAGTATATTCAGCCTTTTTGCTGGCAATAGCTGCCGCAGCATCTGGAAACATGTTGTTTATCATGGATGGGTCTAGGACAGAGTGTCTCTTGGTAGACGGAGTGGCGGGAGGACGGCCAATAGAATTTCTTGAGCCATCACCACCGAGCTTGCCCATTGCATCGTTTAGTCGAGTTGACATAGGATCTGGAGTAGACAAATGTTAGCGAGACCTCAAGAAAAATGTGAGGTTGAGATATCTTAAGACAGACCTTTATCGAAGTTTGCGGGTGACAACACACCAGACATTGGATGGTTTTTGCCCATCTGCTGTAAAACTTGAATAAAAAAGCGAATCTGTACTTGAGTTGTTTGTTGAAGTAGAGCATATAAAGCAGCGGTTCGTTCGGCCTCACTCAGAACCCGGAACCATTGTTCTATTGCACTCAACTCATCCTTGAAGTCTTGATCCAAAGTTGCAGCTGCCATTTCTTCCAAGGTATTCTCATATTGATCAATGTCGGCGATCCATTGCTGAGCTTCCAAGTCAGTATCATTTTCAGGGACGCCCTGACCTTGCATTTGTTGAGTGCCGTAAAAATCGGATGAAGGTCGAGCTTGGCCACGGCTAGCAGATGGTGAACCTGAATATCCAGCCATGTCTGCAGAAGCTCGAAGGTGATGACCTGAGCCGACAGCGCGTGAAGATGGAGGTCGAAGCGATGAAGTATTTGTAGACTCGACAGGAGTGCTGTTGCGATTGCCTATGATGTGTCCGGCCGACATATTGAGCATAACTGTTCTAAATGTAGCTTCAAAACGAGATGCTGTAATAAAAAGATTGGAGATTCGCCTTGGGGGGAAATGGGGGAAAATATGAAACACAGCCGACGAATGTCAATGCGAGGAAGATTGCAGGTTCGTTCCCAGTAAAAAGCCTCGACCCCAAAATTAGAAAGATGTGCTCCAATGTAAATACCGATGCGCTTGTTTGCTACCTGCAGGACCTGCTGAGGAACCAAATCAAAGTACAGGATAGGTTCGTGTATTTTGTTAAGTAAGTTTACGGTGGATTGGAAGTGGGTGGCAGTGAACCAATCGAGAGGGATTTCTCAGGGTTCAGGTGTTTCTTGGGTTGTTAACTTGTAAGAAGCTCCGAAGTCAGGCTGAGAGAATGGATGAAAGACGAGAGATGGATAACTCGAGATCCCAAAAGGGTTCCTGGCTCCGATTTTCAGATTTCCAAATGCCCAAATAGTACTGACTCGACAGTTGCTGATTGATATTGTACTTTTGATGCAGTAACAGAGTAAGTTATAGGTACACAGTCGAGTTCAGTCGAGTCCAGTCGAGTCCAGTCGAGTTTGAGTCGGTTTGACAGGATGAGTTGGATTTGAATTCAGAGATTATTCCATAGATGTAGATACTTGGTAGATACTTGGTAGACACTTGGTAGGTACTAGGTATCTACTCGTATAATAAATAGATAAAATGGAGAGATACGGTTGTGTTCAACGTTTTATTTGGGTCTTCTTGAAGAGGAGGGGGCAAAAAGTAATGTTTCGAATTGAGTAGATGCGGAGCAATAATAAGTTCTTCAAGAAGTACTAGGTAGGAAAATCCCCGAGGGAAGTACAATTGTAAGATCTTACATTTACCAGTATTATTATGCTGCATTCACCGCGGAAGTCGGACAATGTTTGAAAAAGCAGAGCCAATGCCAGATCGCCGTTGATGAATAAAGAAAAAAGTTATGTTTCACATTCTAATTCACCAACATAGATAATTGGTAGTTAAATCAATTCCCAGGTCACAATAAGAATAAGAAATGAAGTCATCTCCATCTCGAGGTTCCTTCATTACCTTGGTAGAAATATTCACTTGTAGCTACATTCACTTCAAAGTTCTTACATTCTCCTCAATAGCCATTATCCGAGATGATTTTAGATCATGATTGAAGAGAAAAGAATCGAATTATATTGGTTATCAAGTCCTATCACTGGGGCAAAACAGAAATGCCTGCCTCTGGCTAATTAAAACCCCAAAGCCCCAGAAGTATCCAATACATGTTAATTGTCACCTCATAAATGAAGTCATCCTAAGTACTATGACTTGACATTTGATATCCACGATTTGTTTTGTGACCCCTTCGTCATGCACCATTGCCTCATAGAGTATTGAGAAAAAGTGTTTGGTAATGAAGGGATCTGGTGTTTGATCTTGGCACGAAAAGAAAATATCCTTTCAGCTAGAGAGCATTGAAATGGCTCTAAAAGCTGTACACACAAATGCCTGTGTTGATGATTGTTCATGGGAGAAACGAATTTGGAGTGGAAAGGGAATAGGGTAAAAGGGGAGGAAGTCATTGGAAAAGGGCCAATTTTCACGTCACCTCACAAGTCGAAATTTGAGGTACGTCGGATGGTGTAGCTTGTGTTGATTCAATGGATAGAACTATCGCCCCCAGTGTCTAATCCCGGTTTATGTCGTCGGCTTGCTTCTACTTCCCTGTGGAGCAAAATATCGGAATGCAACTACTGCCACAACCAAGTCTCATAAAATAAGATATTATCAAATTTATGCGGTCTCACGCTTGCCCTCCTTCAACTCCTTCTGTAATGATAGTCAGTATTCGAATGCGACGGATACTGATGATCGGAAGGAGGACGAACCAAAGCCTTCATTGTGCCGTGGAGAGCATGTCTGTGGTTTCTTCTGAACTTGGGGTCGGTACCCTTGAGGGATGGGTATCTGGAGGTCTTTGGCTTCTTGATACTGCGCATCGATGTAAAATTAGCCCCCATTCATCCAAAGCCGGTTATCAATTGAAGTAGACGGAATTTGTGGTTATTGATCGCGATAATATGTAGGGGATCGTACCCGTTACGGTGAGCCTTCTTCGACTGGTTGTGTTGGGACGAGTTCTTGGATTCTAAAGAGA